GAGGACACTGTGAATGTATTTTTATAGAAAATACTCAGACGAACATTAACAAGTACGTATTGATGTGAGAGGAAAAAGAATCAATGGCGGGTACATCAAAGGTCGACCCAGTTTCGCGCCATGAGCATACTCTTCATTGACCCAGGTAAGTTGCTTAGCAACAAAATACTACTGTAATCATCAGTTACCACTAATTTTATAAAAATCATCAGGCAAATTTGTTATGATATAAACATGCATATAACACTGTAATATTCAATAAATTACTATTGGAAATTTTTTTTTCCTACATTCATACATGCATGTATTTGTCCCAGGAAGAAACGTTGAACCAAACTACGTCAAAGTTTTCTGAATGTCAATTTACTCTACTGAGACTTAATTAATTACAATTTTTGACCAACAAAGTTAACAATGATATTTTTTCTACTTGTTCTTGATCAAATGTTGAAGTTTTTTTTTTCAATATAATTTATGTATCAATTTATTTTTTAATTTGAGCTTTAACATATTTTTTAAATTAAGACTAATTTTAAAATCAAAGTAATCAAGATGTTCACTTGTATATTTTATGAATGACGTAAGTTACCGCGTTTTATTCTTCCATTTTCTAATGACGTCATCTTGAATGGTCAAACGCGCAACAAGACCATTCTATTCATGAAAAGAACAGTGGTGAAAAATGCTCATAAAATATATTTGATTCTTAATCGTAACATTTATTTCAATATTTCTTCATGGTAAGACATCACTTATTACACAACTCAGCTATGTAATACAGAACTTATTATTTCCCTACATTTATCCTCACTTCCTTCAACCAAAATTTATGCTCCCCAGAAAACAATTTAATTAACTAAGTTTAATTTATTATTTTTATAGTTTTGAAAAATTATTTTCCATCAGAAATTTTGTCTTTAATCAAATTTCTTGTTAAAATTTATTTGTTAATTAATTAATAATATGACAAATACTACTTCAGAAAAATAATCTTATAAGAATTAAAACTTATTTTAATAAAAAGCAACTTTAGTATCACTGTGAAACTGTATGCAGTTTTAAAATATATTTTTGAACCATTTTGTTAATTTCAGTTGGAATAATTATTTACAAACAAAATCATGACAGACCCTACCTCTACATGATGCAAAAAAAAATCACCCAACTTTTCCAAACGTGGGCGGTTTCTCGTCTACCAAGCATATTGTGTGGGCTGTGTTTAGACTGGAGTATCCACGTGGTTGTTCTATTGAAATTAGATGTCTACAGAAAATTTTCAATATCCTTCAACACTGAACAAATGAATATTTATCCCCAAACATCATTAAAATGAATAAATAAAACCTCCCCAAAAGAAAGATACTCCAAATCTACCTTTAGATCAACCTTCACAACATCAAACGCACCAATAAAACCACATTCATTGAGCAAACTACGTTATACGTTTCAGGAAGAGACACAGTTTCCTAATTTCTCTCTTGCTATAATAAAAATCACTAATAATGTGCCAAGAACTCAACAAAAAAACATGAAACAATTATTTTAATAGAATCTTACCTTGCTTTGAAATGATGATCACAAATTATCAATGAAGTAAATGCCATCAGTTTGATGAATTGATGAAAAATTGAAGCTTTTATAAAATATTTATATTAAATAAAAGCTTGACAACTATACACATTCATCAATAAGATACTGAAAAAATGATAAATTAACTATTGAGATGCAGATAAAAAATAATTCACCAATTAAGTGCAACAATCCCCTTCGACAAACCATATGATACAGTGGTTAAAGCGAAACTGCAGTCGGACAAAGTCTGACAGAACATGATGAGTTTCTACTGTAAAGAAAACTCTGAGGTTGGCGGGCTGAATGGAGCTTTTAGCTGATTGGTCCGTAACCTAATGACGTCACTGCATTGATTATCCCGCGCATACACGTGGCCTTGCGCCTTCGTTCCAAGTTTCCTGCTTTTACACCGTTTTGATGACGTTGCATACATCTATTTAGTTCATAATAAAGTTAATAACTTTTCATTTTTAGTTTTAATCATTATTCAATGATTGGACTAATTTTGATGTTAATCATTAACTGATAATTCCTTGGAGAAGTGTTGGAAAATGCTAAAGGGGTGATTTGAGATGGGATCTTTTGTGGGAAATTATTTTATTTTAGGGTTGAAAAAAAGTTGATTCTGAAATTTTTTCGATGATGTTTTATTATTTTTGAAGCTTTTATAGCGATCAAAAAGGTCCTTGGTAGTTTAATCGGCTTTCATTTTTTCCCTTAATCATCCCAGCAAAATCTACCGTCCTCGACATACATTTCGGAATGAAATAGCGCATGCAGCGTAAGGATAGAATGTCTAGGCAACTGAGGTTTTAGGTCGATGCTCTACAAAACAAGGTTCGTTGTCCGATACGTCATGACGTCATCCTGACGTTTCAAAGGTGCGCTGAAAGAAAATTATGAAATTCATAGAATACATTCAATTAATAAATACTTTTTCAACATTTTTTCAATAGCATTAAGTACTTTGAATATTTAAATTAAAATATACATCACTGTAAAATAATTCATTCAATTTTTTTATTCTTTTTTGAAGTGAACTAATTTTTCAATTATTAAACCATGTAGGGATCTGGAATATGATAAAATAGGTATTTGAATTTTTGGATCAGAGATTTTAGGGAAGTAATTGAATCGCTTGAACAATTATTTGGCTCTATATTTGTACTTAGGGAAACATAACAAAATAAGCGCGAAAAAGATTGGTAAAGAAAAAAATATATTGCTTTGAAAATCGATGCCCATAGAACTAGGTCACTGGAGCTTCATTCACATTACGCGGCCATTCATGAGATTTGCTTATCGACTTGTATACTGTTTTACAGAATCTTTACGACATTTAACTTAATTTCAACATTTTTTCAAATCAATTTTACCTGATTTCATCCAATACTCCATGTTCTATCATTCATATATTCTTTTTGTCTAAATAAATTCTTTTTCATTAATAAACAAATTCCTCTATTTGTTTTTTCCTCCATCTTTTAATCAACAATTAATAATTTTATAAACTACATGTTTATGAACATCAAATGACTCTCGTTTTCTTGATTAATAAATTAATCTTAAAGCTTTTAATACAACACGAAAATTCTCGAGTTCGTTGCATGCAAAATAAATTTCAGAAAAATAATAAATTAAGTAAATACATTAAAAATTGTAAATGTAAATAATATTGATGTAGCAAATGTGTAATAAACATTGAATCAGCCTTATGTATAATAATGAATCCATATATACATATAATATGGTACATATCATGTTGTATTGGATTCAGAGAGACTGACCTGCTCACTGCACATAAAAGACAGAGTGCATTTGACCTAAATTCACCCGGGCAATGACGTTGTTGAATGACGTCACAAAATAGTAAAGCGGGTCATGAGGTCGAAGTACCTCATTTCATTTTTGCTAATAATTGACCAATTTTCAACGGCAGTAAATTAAATAATCTAATTAAAGCTTCTCATACGAAACTTTGATTATAAGTCTGTTTTTTAACATTCACCATTATTTCAAAATATTATCTATATATTTAATCTTTTTTCTTTTGTTACTAATTTGATAATTTATTTAAGCGATTGTACGATAAAATTATTTCTAGTGATCTCTTGAATATTGTGGGTTTTATATTTAAATGATCTGTGGTATTTTTAAAACAACCTATGATATTTTAATTCTCAGTTGAACTCGAAAAATAGAAGTAAATGTGCGGAAGATGGGGATGAATGTGAAAGTAGATAGTTTGGATGATGAGAAAAGAATTTGTTGTTATATTTAAAAAGTACTGAAATTTTGATTCATTTTAAATAATTCTTGAGATATGAAATTTATTGTAGATTGAAGGGAAAAAATGTTATTGTTTTAAAATAAAAATCTAAGGAAAAATTACCACATTCACCTATATTGCAAGGATAAAATGACGTCATAGGAAAAAATAGTTGATAACGTAATGTTTTAATCTAATGAAAAAAAATTAAATACAAAAAATTTGTAAACATTTAAATTTCGAACTTTTTAAATTGTATAATTAAAAAGAAAAGTAATATTATGTTTTAATTTAATTAATTAAGATTCATTAAAATTGGTATTTGGTGCTTTTAAAACCATCTAACAAAATCTATCAATTCAAGTTAGAAGTCATTTGAATAACTTGATTAATGATTGAAGAAAAAAAAATTGATTGTTACGTACAGTATGAAAAAAAGTTATGCGAAATCTATATCAAATGAAAATGGAATGCTCAACGTTAAATGTTTTCATTGATCTCACTCTAAATATTTAAAAGTTTTAAAAATCTTTGATAATTTTTGCGAGAGTAAATTAATAGTTTCTTAGTGCCAAGTTAGCTTTAATTTCATCAATCACGACCTGAGAAGTATTTTTAATTTATATATATATATATATATATATATATATATATATATATTTATCAGAACGCGATGAATGACGTCACAAGATTTTCAAATCAAATGTGCATTGATTAAATCGTTTTTGGGTCGAAAATCTGATGAGATGCGTTGTATAAATGGAAAATAAGCTTTGATTTGTGATGAAAATAAATATTTTCCTTTGACATTTAGAAATTTAAGGTCTATGACAAGAAAAAGCCATACCCCCTACTCCTAATCGTGATAGAATTCTGATAAAAATTGAATATTTTGATTGCTAAATTGGTAATACCGCAAAAAAAATTTTTATCTTGCTATTGGTTATATGTTTCAGCGCTAAAATTTAAACTACTAATGAAAAATAAAGTAATAAATCGTTTCAAATGTTTCAGCTATTTTCAACGTTTAGCTCATCAACAAAAAATGTTTTCAATTATTGTATGATGTTTTTTTTCTATGTTTTTCATTATTTGGATAAAAATTAAAAATCAAAAGAAATATCATCAACAGCGCAGTATTTCCGTTTCAGAAGTTCGTTAGTCCTAGGTGTCGTAGTGATCGCTAGAATGAATTTTATTGTAATTAGTGAAAATTATAATTATTATTTAAATAATCTTTGCAAAAATGAATTTTTTGGTATACATTTTATATGAATTTTATTTAAATTGTTTTTTTAGACGTTTAAAATCTCAATGAACAATGAGCATTGACCATCTTGTACATCCGCCTCCATTTTTATAGCTAGTTCACACTATACTAATCCATTAAGCTAGTCGGAATTTCGTGTAAAAAATAACTCTATAAGGAAAAATTAATAGTTGCATCATATTATAAACAATGTTACGGAGATATTGTTTAAGAAACTTCAGTTTTATAAAAAATATTAATCATTGTATTCGTAACTTGACTAACATTTCTGAACCCATCAGGAAAGAAGCAGGAAAGCGCATCAAAGTACAGGTCGGATAACTATTTTGTATCACATATAATGGCGGACAAATTAGTATTTTGTGAATTCGTTGTTTATTACTTAATTATATACTATCCAATGACTTGATATGAAATGTGAATGTTAATAATTGTATTTTATTTTTTAGGGGTGGGTAAAAGCATTAAGAAAAATGAAAGAAGTTGTATTCATTGACATAAATGATGGTTCTAATTGTAAACACATACAAGTTGTGATCAAAAAAGTTGATAGTCCTAATAACTTAAGTTATGGAAGTTCCGTTACAGTGGAAGGTGAAATTGGTTATGCTCCCGATGGAAAAATGGAAATAAAGTCTGATGATATCCAAGTTATTGGATCTGGTAATCTTGATGAAGGTTACCCTTTCTTACCGCGAAAAAAGTACTTGGACGAATATGTTAGACAATTTTTACATTTAAGAATGAGAACTCGGCAGTTTTCTAGTGTCCTTAGGTTAAGGGATTTAGCATCTTTTGCTTTAGCAGATCATATGAGAAGTCGAGGATTTATCAACATTCATACACCAATTCTCACGTCAAACGATTGTGAAGGCGCAGGAGAGATATTCACGGTAAAACCAGAATCTCAACAATTACTTAACGAAATGAAGAAAGAAAATCAAAGTATGGATTCAGTTTACTTCAATTCTAAAGCTTTTTTGACTGTATCTGGACAACTTCATTTAGAAACCATGGCCAGGTAATTGTATTAGTAGAGAGACAAAAAAATTCTTTCCACCTTTTTACTTTCGATTTTTTTAGGGCCTTGTCTAAGGTTTACACGTTCGGTCCAACATTCAGAGCAGAGAATTCCAAATCTAGACTTCATCTTTCTGAATTTTATATGATGGAAGCAGAATTAGCATTTATAACAGATATTAAAGAGTTAGCAGAAGAGGTTGAGCTATTAGTAAAAGCAATTACCAGGGCGCTTGTTGAAAAAGGAATGTCTGATATGGAAAGACTGAATGCACAAATACCGAGTTGGATTGATAAAGATTTCTCATTTTTAACACATAATGAAGCATTTAATATTCTTGAAAAACATCCAGATCAATTTAGTACTCCTGCAAAACGAAATGAAGCTCTTGCCAAAGAACATGAATTATTTTTGGTAAAATATAATGATGGAATTCCATTATTTATAATCGACTGGCCAAAAGAGATGAAGCCTTTCTACATGAAAGAGTGTGATGGTGACTCGTCAAAGGTAAAAGTCTATAAATAGGTCGAATATTTAAAATTAGTGATAAAATTGATTTGAATTCTCTTCTTAAGGTTGCAGCTTTAGATTTATTAGTGCCGTTGGTTGGAGAACTGGTTGGTGGAAGCTTGAGGGAGGATAATTATGACAAATTGAAACTTAAAATATCATCGAAACCTGATTTATCATGGTATTTAGATCTGAGAAAATTCGGAAATGTTCCGACTGGTGGGTTTGGTTTGGGTTTCGATAGATATCTTCAAACTGTTCTGGGAATTACTAACATCAAAGATGTTATTCCTTTTCCAAGATGGCCACACAATTGCAGTCTATGAATAAACTTTTTTAGGGTTTTGTGTTTATGATTTTATTCCTTATTATGCCTGATTATTTTTTAAAGAATCTTCGATGAATCTCCGTGCAGTAGTCGAGTTACCCGAGGATGTACGAAAAAAGATGCTAATTTCAGGTCTGGAGATTGGTGCCTGCCCATTTTCTACGAATTAATTATACAGTTAATATTTGGATAGGTTTAGGAAATCAAGATTTATGGAAAAACCAACATTATTTTTATTTTAAATTAGTATTTATTGAAAAACACATACATTTTTTAAACTTATGATACTTATTTTTAGGAAAGTTGAGGATTAATTGAATAATTCGCGTTTTTTTTTCAATTTCAATACTTATTTATTGAGACCTGAATTTTTATTAAAACTAAAACTTTAAATAGATATATCGCTTTCAGTAATGGAATCTTACGAATATAGACCACTCGATCTTCATTTCGGCATCTGTTGGTTCAGCAAGACTCGTCAAATACTATAATTTTCTATTCACTTTTGATAATTATTTTCTACTTCAGGATAATTGGAAAGCATACAGGATGATGAAAATGAAATTGAAAAAAGTGAAACCACCGGGTGGTTAACAATTTTTTTTTTATACAACAAAATAATGTTTTCCTATCAAGTAAATGATTTCGTTATCAAAGCTATTTAACTCACAATGGCATTCTCTTATAATCACAATTTCATTCCAGTATATACATCTTCAACATCATATATCACACTTCTAGTATACATCTTAGTATTCGTATGATAAACGAAATGAAATCAACGGTTTTATTAAATTGTCTCATTAAGAATTCATCCTTTTGCTCACTCACGCTTACATAAAATTGGTCATTCTAGTTAACATTAGTTTTTTTTTATGTTACATGTTGAACTGAACAAAAGTAAGTATTTTGTTTGTGTAAAAACTTAAAATATCATTTGACGTACTTTTTTTCTTTTCAACTAATTCACAAAGTACAAATGGTATTAAATATTTTCATAAGATTTGTGCAGGTTAATTTTGTTTTTAAGATCACATTGTGACATAAAACACATTGCACACAGTACTGTACGGAATGATTCTTTCCTATTAATTAATCATTCATTTTAAAGTTATTAAGATTAAATTATTATGTACAAGTCTATTATTCTGGCCAAGTATTTCACGATTCTTTAGCATTCATTCATTTTCTCATTCATCATACTCGCATTCATTTATAGCAAACATACTCAGTTAACTTGTATCTTCTGATGTACTAACGTTTACTCTTAGTAAAAAAAACATTCATAAAAATAAAAATGTAATTTGTATGTGAAAAATATTTTCACAAAAAATTTAAAAACGTTTACACATCATGTTATACAAGCCTTACAAAACTATTGTGTATACATGAACCGTGAATTTAATCATTAAATTAATTTTCTCTTCATCCTCGATACATGTCCGGAAGCCAGTTATTAAAAAATTTATTTTCTGGCTTATTTTTTACAAATATGATTCACTTATATTTGTTATTATTTGGCAGTATGCTTTTTGCCAGTTTAAATTTTTTATCATATTTACATAATCGAACAAAGTCCCGACATTTCATGACCTTTTTCTACAGGAGGTAAAACGGATAATTTCCTACCTTGCAAAGTTGGCTTAATAGACGCAGGAAATAATGGAGTATCTTTTATTTCTGTAGGTGTTTCTACTGTTGTTGAAGTAACTTTTTCTTTTGCTTCCTCTGTATCTTTATTGGTAATTATCGGCTTTGTTATATTTATTTTTATCCGCGGAGGTGCAGCAGGAATAGGTGCTGGTGTTGTATCTAGCTCCACATTGCCGTCAATTGAACTCTTCACGGCTATAACCGTTGTATCAACTACAGCTGCTACATCTATTACAATACTTTCTTCGGGTTCTAAAAAATATTACAATAACATAGTTAATTATATTAAATTAATAATACAAGTAATAATGATTTTAAAAAAAATTTTCCAAAATCTTACCCGGTTCAGGATCCTCTGGTTCAGTTTTTATTTCAACATTTTCCCAATTGATTTCTGATTCGAATTCTTCTGTTACATCTATCGGTTCCTCTTTGATTTTTATTTCTGAGATATTTTCTATTTCCATGTCATCTATTTTTACTTCCGAGGAATTTTCTTCTTTTTCCTCTACAACACCTTCCATTTGCTCAGCTTTATCGTCATTCATGGGTTCTTTCTGTTCTTCATTTTCTTTAATATCATCTGTTTTCATTTCTTCATCAATTTTAACATCTTCAATATTTTCTTCAACAATTCCTTCTACTATTTCTTCAACTTCATCTAATTTCTCTTTTTGTTCTTCTTCTTTTATCTCTTTCATTTCTTCATCTTTATTTTCATCAGCTTCCTCATTCTCATTTTTAGAAACGGATTCTTCTGTTTCATCATCATCTTTTTTCTCTTCCTCGCCTTCAACAAGGCTATCGTCTAGTGTAGCTGCAGATTTTTCTAGAGCACGCTAAAAATATAATATAATAATTAGAATCTACAATATTCCAAAAAACTAACAAAAAACGATGATCAGTCTAGCACAGAATTACAGAATGGTAAATGAACTCAAAAGTAATGCAAGATAATGTAGCAAATGAAGAATGGAGATAATTAATAAGAAGCACATACCGCGATACACTTTTCCTATTTGCGTAAGGATGTGAAGAAAATAAAGATTAATTTATATATCTATACCAGGAAATAACCGCCAAATAGAAAAGATAATTTCAAAAAGTTACACAAAATTAATATAAAGTAAAAATAATACTAACCTTATGATCCTCAAGACAAAGTGGATGATAGTTTTTATTTTCAAAACTAACAGCAGGTCTAAGATGCCATTCTTCTTTTTCCTCATTATAGAATTGTTCAAAAGCATCATGACAGACTTGACATACTGCATCTTCATCACTACCTGTTGGTACACTTGGTTGGATTGTTTCTTGAGGAGATTCATCTCCATTTGCTGTTTCTGTTTCTAATGTTTGTTTTTCAGTTTCAAACCAGTTTTGAGCTGTAAGTAAAAAAATAATTTTTAGAATAATATAATTATTGGATTAATCAAAAATAAAACCAATACAATAGTATATTTTGCACACGAAAAATAACGTAAAACATTTCATCAGTAATAAAATTGGTTGTAAATAAAATCTTGCAGATTGAAATGTTTTACTTTTACTTTTTGTAGTTAATTACTATTTTCTTTTTTTACAAAAAAGTTCATTTTTTGATAACTTAATATTTAGAATAGCGTTATTTACTTTATAATCTCTAAATAAAAAACAATAAAATGAATATTTACCTCTATCCTCTAAATCTTCAATTTCTTCAAATTGAATCCAATCGGGGATATCATAGTACCAAGGTCGAGAATGAGCTTTTCTGGTCGGATCCCTTTCTCTCCTATTCTGTCTAAAATGCCAATCAAGATGATGACTATATCGTGTAGCTAATTCAGGAGCGAATCGTGCACCACATGAACTACATTGCATTCCACAATACAAAGCAGTTGCAATAGCAGGTTGTTTTATTTTGAGGGTTTCAGGTTTATCAAAGCACACTGGAATCACTTCTGGCTCTTTCTTGACTTCTTTCTCTTCTTCTGTTTCTCCTTCTGGTTTTTTCGTTTCAGCTGTAGAAGATGTAGGCCTAGGAACTATTCCAGTTTCAACTAGTCTTTGGAAAAGTTCATTGAGATTAAGATTTGCAGGAAGAATTGGTGCAGGTGTAGAAGTTGCAGCAGATTTTTCTGCTGGTTCAGCTTGATATGATAACCCTGAAGCTGGAGCCATTGCTGATGACAAAACAGATGATAACATATCTAGTTGTAAGTCTGGTTTAGATGAAGAAACATCCGATGCATCTTGTGAAGTTGCATCCTGTTCAGGAGTAGTAACACGTTGTGGCGGTGTAGTTCTATCACTCGTAGACTTAACATCAGTAGTTGGTACTTTAGTTAAAGAGTCGACAGGAGTTTCACCTTTCATTCCAGCAATTTTAACTAAACCTGCTTGCACACCTCTTGGTAACACTGAGAATCGAATGAAATGTTTTTTATCACCAACAATGATAGGTTTAGGTAAACCTCCAAATTCTACTTTGAAAGGTCTTCCATTGAGCAACACTGTTCCTAAAGCGTCTGTAAATTCTAAAGTTTGAGGCTGTCCATCAATTTCAAACATTTGTGGTTTTGCATCCAAAAATACAGGTACCATATTCCGTGCATTTATAATAAGATTAATTTTAGCAATCACTAAGTCAGTTCTTTTCACAGTTCCAATTTTCACTTGTGGTGGTGGTCCTTCAAGTTTCACATTCACTTTCTTATTACCCATATCAACTTTAATAGGTGGTCCACCAAAATAACACTCATACCACTTATCGTCGACATAGAGTTCTCTTGTAGGTGCTCCAAGTTTTATTCTGTAACACAAACAATATAAAATCATTAGTAAAAAGTTAAAATAAAAATTGAATAGTATTTTTTTAAATCCAAAAAGGTAAATTACTTACTTATGAATTTCTCCTTCATATATGAACTCCTTGTAAGGACCATTAAATGCACATATAATTGTATCCTTATCATCAATAAGAATCCTTCTGACACCATTCTGGAATCCGATTTCTCTTGGATCATCCCAGCTCATAAATACAACACCAGTTTGGCCATAGTATCTAATCTCTCTTGGAATACCATCAATATTGATAGATTTCATTGTATCACTAGTAATTTCTTCTAATAACTTAGGATCTGGCTGAGGTAATTCACGATTGAGTATGCCTTGTTCTTTACCATTTTTATCATCAAAGTTTTGAGTGTCATTCATGTCAAATTTAAGAACAGAATTAGGTGAAATATTTCTTGTCGGTGGCGGTGCATGGCTTAGTATATTATTGTGAGTTTGATGGGGGCCATTTAATAATAAACTTGGTGGACCATTCATGTTCGTCATAGCAGTATTAGGCAAACCCATAGGTCCCATAGGACCATTTGGTATCATTCCAGGCATAATTGGTCCATTTGGACCCATTGGACCAAGCAATCCAGGTCCTAGACGCGGTCCAGCACCAATACCAGAATTGAAACCATGGAACTGATTAAAGTCTGGCCTAATTGGTCCGAATTGTCTTGGATTTTGCCATGGGCCAATAGGACGAAAATCTGCATTAAAATGACTAGGAAATGATGGTCCGGGTGGGTGTACCCAAGGACCATGTTGTTGCCATGGTTGCGCTTGCCATCTGGGGCCATTTCTTCCATGTGGATGATCTTTTCCTCGACCTATATCACAGTCATTTGGATTGAAACCGCCAATGTCAATTCCTTTTTCCCAAACAATTGATCCTATTTCTTTTTCTTTTCGTTGTGCTGCTCGCAATTTCTGATCTTCGTTCATCTGCCATACTTCTTGAATCAAAGTATGATAATCTGCCTTTGTTATAGATCCTTGTTTTAGTTGCTCCTCTGCTTGCTTCATAATTATTTCGATATTTCTATCAGAATTACGATCCAATTTATCTAACTCGCGATTTCGACGACCCAGTCGTGAATCTTCATCATTTCCAAAAGGTCGACGTCTGTCTTTAAGATCATCTAAAGGTTTATTATTATAAAGTCTTATTCTTCCAAGACGATCTTTATTACGATCTCTATCACGTTTATCATCATTGTTGATAATTTTATCACGATCACTTTTTGTTGGAGTCTTTATTTTTGCCCAACTAGTTTTATTATCTTCACCAGAGATCACTGGTGGTGGTGGAGTTGGTGGACGTCCAGCTTTCGGATGAGTTAAAGTTCTTAAGTCCACATCTTCATTGCCAAATAAACTGGAAAATGAATTCAATTTTCTATCGTTAAACACAATATAGCATAATTATTTCAATGAAATACTGTTATGATAAATTGTTTTAAAATAGTCAAAAATTAAACTTACGCGTCAAATTTTTCAGCTTTGGTTTTTTTATTTGTAGAATCTGGTTGATCTGAAGGCCGTTTGTTGTTATTTGATGGTTGTAATACTCGGAGATCTAAGTCTTCTTCTAAAAAAAATTGAATTACATAACTATAATCTAAGTATGATAATCATAAAATAGATGACAGTATCTGAAAGTGTAGGAAGAATAAATAAAAAATATTAATAAATAGATTTTAGACTTACTCTTTTCTACAGATTGAACGGCAAGTTTAGCAGGAACAGGAAGGCCAGCCCTAAGATCTTCATCCTTGCTAGCAGCTTCAATCAAAACTTCAGGAGAATCATGAGGATTAGAAATATTTTGGCCGATACATTGAAGATTGAGCATGCCAGAATCTTTATTACGTCTGATGTAATTCCTCTGCCTTGTATTTTGTCTGATATCTTTAAACGTCGGAGGATGAGGTGGAGATACAATCAACGAACCTGACTGTTCCTCTTCAGTTAGACCACTAGCAATGGTCGAGGAAGAGGAACTAGACTTAGAATCGACACTCTTCCTTGGAATTTTATAAGGAGGACTAGGACTTCGCTTTCTAGATTTACCAGCATTCTTCTTACGACTCTTAGATGATTGGGAAGAGGATTGAGGTGAGGTACGGGAAGAAGAGGATGAACCATCGCTGTCTTTTTCCCGCGATTTTGACCTAATTGGACTTGAATCACGATCCATTTTTGACATCTTGTTAAACGACATTTGAGATTGCTTAGAACGCGATTTATTTGCTACTTTCCTATGAGAGGATTTTGAGGAAGCAGAAGACTTGTCGTTGTTCGACGATGAAGAGCTTCGTGAAGACGGGCTCTTAGTGTCTTTAGACTTAGCTTCGCTTCCTCCACCTCTAGGGCTGCTTGACGTGTTTGAAGACGATGACCCATGGTCACCACTTGGACTCAACTTCAAACTATTATTTATATTACCACAACTATTACTAGACGATCGGGGATCTTTCTTTTGATTTGTACGATGCGAAACAGCATCTCTATTCGTATTACTTAATATTTTATTATTGTTGTTATTGTTGATTGACGCATTAGGAATATCGTTATTACTAATATTTGACGTAACGACGTCGCCACTCATGTGATTTAACGAAAGCTTGTTCATATTTATAGCTTGTTTCGTTATAAATTGCTGTTTTACTTGGTCTGAAAGTACAGTATTTAATGCCGTTGTCTGGGCTAATGAATTTTCAGAATCTGTTAACACTTCATTCGATAATCCCGCAATTTGTCGTAGACGAGACTGCGTATCCATGCTGGTTGGCTCTGATCCTGAGGCCTTGAGACGAGGATCCCTCGAGACAGGTCTAGCCGACGCCACTAGTAAGCTGCTTGCCGGTGCTATCCTTGGGCCGTTATTGGTACCCGCATTCTTCAATAAAGATGCTGCTGCTGCAGGAAACTATAATCAAAACCCAAAGTAAATTTCTGGAATTTTTCAATATTCAGTGTTACTGCCAATTTTATTATTTTGTAAAATTTATAACAAACCTGTTTAACTACTTGTTTCGTTGCTTGGTTAGATACAATAGGAGGTGTTGGTTTTCCTTGTGTTGTTTCTGAAGCGGTGAGTATAGGAGTTGTGGAAGAAACCTTTAAAAAAAATTTATAAATCATTTGGTGATTTTCTTATTTTATCTTAAAGTCTTATTTTGTAATTCTACTTCTGTTAATTATTTGATTAAATACTTACAGCTTCTGATTTGATAGAACCAGCCTGTTCGTCAAGTTGTCTCTGTTGTTGCTCAAGACTTGTCTTTGCTTGAAGTAACTCTAATTCAATTTTTTGCTTCTGTAATTCGAGAAGCTCCTTTTGCTTTTTAAGCAATTCTCGCATCGCTGCTTCACTTACTGAAACAGGTTCCCCAGGTGGCACTTTCACAGGTGCAACAATCGGAGTTGTTGATACTGGTGACTGCAGAAAATCCCAAATGGTTAATAAGTAACACAAAATACTCAAAAATGATATGTATCTAAGATAAGTAATGAAAATTTACCATTGATAAAAAACGTGGATTGAGGTGAATAGACCCTGAAGCAATAACAGGCTCAGGGGCGGTGATAGGCCACGCGGGGTCGATGCTTTGTACACGTACATCTAAAGAATATAACTTCTTTGCTGGAAATACATCATTCCAAGTTTGCCTTAACTTCCACATACTCGCTCTTGTAACTTCATCCACCTGTTTATGTTAGAAAATAATGTTTAGGATATAAAACTAATGCCCACAAAGCTCAATTGATTTATAATAAAACTCGAAAACCAGAAAGAACTATTCGATCGTAACTCGTGAATCATTTGTACGATGTATGTAAGCAGCTTTATTGATCTTATTAAAGTTTTAGAAGGTCGATGCACTAAGTACTAGTGGAGCCATTATCTTATATCTGCAACATTCTGCAAACCTTTTCAATCCCAGAAAATTGGAATATTATAAGATGATTCAAGAAAATTCTTCTTCACAAGTTGCCATCGAATGGTTGTCCCTGATTTTAGAATAATAAAAAGTGGAAATTACCTTCTCAAAAACACCACAAAATGTATTGACTATGTTCTCTGTGAAGAGTTTCAAATAAGCTCCATTTACGTTCTTGACGATCGAATCGATGAGATAAAGGACCGGTAATTTGACTTCACTTCGCACCTAATAAAATACAACAACTCACTTTCACTAACCGAAACGGCCAATCCATCAAAATTTCAATGAATGATCACTTTCCACAAAAAAGAAAATACCCAACCACATACACCCATGATAGAAAGAATTTCAGTTTTAAATGCAAAAATGGAATTTCAAAATTTTATAAGTTACTTTATTGTGCATCCGTCTATAGCAGACGAACAATTGGAAGTTGATACAGAATCATAAAAAGAGACAGAATGTTAAAAACAAACTATTGCAGTGTAAATGTCAGTGATGTAAAACGGTACTTTATTTTTATTATTCATAATACTGAATATTATCACAGTAATTTTTTTATTTTTTGTACCATATTATACTAAAAGCAGTAAAACAATTTTTATTTTTTACTCCGTTTTTGTTAGAAGAGACCGTTGTATCTCTAAAATGTCATAGTTTTTATTAAAAATAAAAACACTCATTTCTTCGTTAACATTAACATTATTTAGTCTTATAAATTTATTGAAAATTATAAAATATGTTATGACAATCGTGGAAGAGGGTTATATATGTATACAACAGTCTCCCTTACAATGGAGTCATATAATAGTTTTTAATATACACGTTTTTTGGACTAGAAAGTTGATTACTACATCTTCTAAATGCTAAATTATCTCTCGTGCAATAAGATTAAACTAATTTTATCAAGAAATAATTATTCCCTAATTTTTTTTTATAAAATAAATAACCCTCAATATAACATCATATCGTGGATAGCGTCATTGCATTTTACATGCGACAATTCTGTTAAATTTAACTACAGATGATAGATAACCTTTTGCAAGTGGTTCTCAATGGCTTGGACGATTACTGGAGCATGATCAACGTTGTCATCAGCGAGCATGGTGAGCATGTTTATCAATGGTTTGCTATTAATTGTCAGATCCGAAAGTGATGAGGAATAGTCCTCGGCTATTTCTCTTGCTTTGTTGTTCGTCGACATTTTTACTAATTTTTATTATCCTTCTATACCGTTAAGAAGAAATTCAACTCCACCAGGTTAGTGCTCATTTCCTATACAAACAAAAAATAACACAATTTGTAAACAAATGCTAATGTATATTTCGGAGTAAAATATTGTCAACTATATTGCGTCATTTCTTGACATTATTTTTCAAAAAAATGAACATTTTAAAAATTTATTCATCATTTTTATTTGAAAATTATATATAATGTACAAATAACATATGATAAGAAGAATTTTTAAATTTATCACACTAATGAACTATGCAAAGCCCGTTATTTACGAGATAGAAACCAAGAAATTAATCGAATGTTCAACAGTATAGTGACGCACTTAAAGAATATTCACAAACAGATCATTTTATAATTTCACTAGATGAATTAATTATAATTAAATCTACTCATAAATGAATTTTTTCACTTTTTTTATCACTTGAAATATGTTAACCGCACAAAGAATAAGAAAAGTAGGATAAAAAGGTAGAGGTATTTATATAATAGCAGCTGGTGATGGAATCAGCGCAACCTCGAAACGGCTTAAATTTTTTATAAATAAAATTTTTAACAGTTGTATATCAATAGAACTGACGAAATTTTTTTTATTTAATTTCACTAATACCATTGATGATGAGTCATCCGTTTATCACATACCTGATTTTATCGAAAAAACTTTGTGCAAATTCACAACGCCTAGCCAACGAGTATCACGCAGCTGCTTTTACAACACTCGTTGAACCCACTTTCACTTCACCGAAATGACACTATTTCACTTATTTATTCACTTATTTATATTCACTTCTGATTAAATACTAGTATATACTTTTGTATATATTTACCTCAACGATCCATTAGAGGAACTGTGAGCACACCTTGGTACTAAACAATACACCTTTTACAAAATTAACTTTTGTTAGTTCTGTAATCTCTGCTCTGAGTCTGGTCTCAACGCAAAATGTCGACTGTTCCTTTGTCGCCACTAACAGGTCAGTGAGGATGCAACGAGCGCCCTCGTTCGTTTACTTATAAACATGAGTCGACACTTCTCATTGGTTGACTCGTGAACATGAGTCGACATTTCCGCCTCTCAAATAACCAATCAGCAGTTGTGTTATAAACCATGAACAAATTTTGCCCCTCTTCTTATTAAACTGAAAATTCAAACCAATGATAAAATTAAAATTAAACATTACCATATTTCTTACTGTCCTCCAACTGTACAAAATAACAAGTTCGATGTATTAAATTCTAAGAACATTACTGAAATCATTTCTGTTTTCTGGATTCGACTTTCCGAATTTGTTATTTTCTTAAATAATCTTTTTTTTTAAATATTTGTTTGTAAAACAGTTTCAAATGAATGAATTATTTTTTTACATCATTGTATTAAAAAAACTATTATTTGATAACACAATCATTGGTTAATTTCGTTATTTATATTTTTCAATTTATTTATAAAATGAGAATTAATTAAAAATATACTGATTTGAAGTTTTATTATCATAAAAAATGAATAAAATGTCCGTCATCTAAAGCCAAAAGAACATTTATTATTTTATTAGTTCTTTACCGCAATCATTCAATTTTTATTAACTATGGGTATTTATTATTTTTATCAAATAATAATTTATTTATTTTTTATTTCTTTTTTATGAAATTAGTATGAAATTCTCAGAAATAATACTTGCCTCAACATTTTTATTTACACAATTTCAATGTGTAATCATTTATTTTACCATGAGTATTTATATTGTCTGGATAATTTTATTTTTCATCATTCCTAATAACGCTTTTCGATAAAAAATGTCAAAAGAAATGACATTATTTGCATAAATAAAAAATCATAATCAACGTTTATACAATATTTATTGTAAATCAATTAATGAAGGATAAATAAATATTATTCTATCACATAAAAAGTATAGTAAAGTAATACTTACAATATTTCAGTGAAGAATAAGTTTTATAACTGACTCTACAATCGCTGCATATTCATTTTTTCGGCTTCGAAAACGGTTTTTCGTCGATTCTGTACCAAGAGTACAGAATATATATAAAAGTAATTGCATCTTTATAGGCGTATATAATTCAATGTACACCGCCCAACAAATTCTGATTAGCACAAAATTCCCGCTAACCAGAGAACTTATTCAAATTTAACGAATCAAAATTGTAATATCACTTGATTAGCGGGTTATTAGCCAATCAGATTCTCTTAATTGTATATATTTGAACCATACACATTTACTAGAAATCTCGAAGCTTCTTTATGGTTTATGTGATCCTAATAAAAATTTCGTATTTTCTGTCTAAAAGTCGTCAGCTAAACGTTGCGTTCGTAGCTCCTCTAGTGATAAATTTTTTTCAAAAGTAAACATGTGATTCTCTGTACAAAAAGTCCATAAATTATTTTCATTAGTTAAAGTTTAGCTTAAACTGCAATAAGAAATACAATAGAATTTCCCAAAAGTCTAATTTCCATAAATTTTGACACATCGACTCATGTTAATCCTTACCTGCAAGTATACAGGTGTATCACTACCCTAAATCTTTGTTGTATTAGAGCATAAAATTTATTACACTCTTTAAGGTCTGGGATCTCCAAATGGGTGAACCTTTGAAAAATCTTGCTGTATTTCATTTGTTGTTTATTTTTTAATGTTATTGGCAAACTTGAGCATTTGATACTTTATTAAATGGAAAAAACATTATAATTGGATTGAATCATATTGTAGAAGTGAAATCTACTATCTAAATTCATAAAATAAATGATAAATGTAATTAAAGAAAATCCATTTTTATTCAATAGTCAGTGTCATAAACTCGTCATCATACACTGTATTAATCTTATAAGTATATACATTGATTTATTTTCAATTAATTCAGTCATTCATTCTATGGCAATCCATATAGTTTTAGGGTTCGATCCATGCTAGTTGATGCAATATACTGGGCATGTTTGCCAAAACGGACACCAGTTGCTGCAGCAGTGTGGTCATTGAGAATTTTAAGTTCTTGCCATTGTTTGCATAAATATACTCTGAAAAAAATTTATTGGTCAGATTAAAATAAGTTTATAATCAGGATATTCTTTATTTTTAATTACACTTTTAAAAGGAATTTTACCTGACATCAGACCCAGCAACAGCCAAATAAGTTCCACTTTTGTCGAAGGCTAAATCTCTTACTTCATATGAATCATCTAATTGTAAAGTCTTGAAATTTTTCAATTTTCTCAAATCCCAAAGCTTAACACATGCATCCTCTGCTGCGGTCGCTAAATAATAACCATTTTCAGAAAAACTTATTGCGGTTATTGGTCCACTGTGTCCTGGGAAATTAGCAACATTTGATTGTTCTTTCAAGTCCCAAATCTTAACCTGAGAATCAGCCGTTCCTGTTCCAAAAATTAAACCATCCGGATGGAATTGAGCAGTTGTAAGAGGTTGACTTGCTGGTCCAGCAACCTATCAGTAAATAATTTTTCAGTAATTGATGATAAAATTAAATTCAAAAAGTAGTTTTTAAGTGAAAAAATTAAATCTACCTTCGTTAATAATCGTCCAGTACGTATATCAGAAAACGCCCAATGTTGATCTAATGACGAACTTAATAAATAATCACCAGTAGGATGAAGCGACAATCCAGTAACAGGTGCGTCGTGAGCTTTTAATAGTAAAGTTGTTTGACTTGTAGCCACATTCCAAATTCGAATTGTGGTATCTGGTGAAGCGGTCATAACAACATCTTCTTCAGGATGATAAACAACCCTGGTTACTTTTTTTGTGTGACCCTTTAATATAGCAACTACCTGCTCTGTATCTTTATTGAAAACTGTCGCATTTTTATCAGCCCCTCCTGTCAAAATTTTACTCGTGTCAGCACCATGAATGTCAAGGGCTAAAATTCCCGGAACACTTGCCGAGTGAAGACTTGGATGTGATGCTAAAGTTTGGAATATTCGAATATTATCTGCGGGGACTAAATCCTCTGGTATAGAACGACCGCGTCGTTTTCTTTCTTGTGTCAAAACAGTTGCTTTTTCTTGTAAAATCTGTATGACATCGTCTGTTATTCCAGCTTGTTCAGTAGGCTGTGCTGCTGCACCTCCAGCTTCGACAGCAACTGCTGGTTGAGGAATAGCAGTAACTTGCGTAATTCCACTCGGAGGTTTCAAAGATGCAAGAGCTTCTCTAGCAGCAGTTACTTCTTTGGTTAACCTGGCTATTACTCTGCATGCTGCATCATGTTGATATAAGGCATGTGATAATTCTTGTCGTGCCGTCTGTAATTGCTGTCGTAAAGTAAAAGAATGAAGCATCACTGCATCCCATTCATCCTGTAATATCTTTAAAATTGCTGGAATTGAGGTCGCACTTGGAGGTTTTGGTTTAACTAAGGGTGATGCTATAATAGATTAGAACAAATTTTATTAGTCGTAGAGAAGTTGAATTCCTTACATAAATAATTCAATATTTACCTTTCACTTCAATGAGCTGTTCAACTGTAAGCTCTTTCCCATTAATAGGATCTACTCCATTTTCTGCAATATATTTCTCGATGAGTCTCTTCTCAAAAATACTACCTGAAACTGGTGAAATTACTGGATGGTCCGGCACTTCATTAGAAACTAAAAAAAAATAATAATAATAATAACTTATAAAAGACGCTTATTTTGAAGGTTAGCTTGTCGGCACAATATACGTTAACGTATTTTTTCTTTTTAAATATTTTTATAATTCTTAAATAAAAGTTTTGATAATATTTATATAGTGAATAATAGTGCTGTTAAAAGTATTTAATTTTAACAATTATTTTCTTACTTGCACAAGATAGAGCCATTTTTCAGTGAAAATTACACCAGAATAAATACGTTTTTATCAAGTCCAATTACGAATTACCGCAAAAATGGTTGTGCTGTTTTGCTTGAATCCAAACTAACCTCAAACTACAGTATCACCACCTAAAAAATATTTTATTGCACATGTACATCATTGTTCGCGGGACATTTGAAATTCAATTCAAATGATCAAGTACTTTAATAATAAGTTAGCATCATAATCATATTTATCACTATTGTTTATATTAAATTAATTAACTTAGTATTGAAGTAATCAGAATAATAATTACCTTAATACTAAATTTTTTCAGTTTTGTAAATTTTTTTATTATTTTTTATACACAGAATAAATCATAACATACATATATATATATATCATCTGACTATAGCATTCATGATATATTTTCGTCGACTTCCTAAAATGTTTAGTTGAGTTCAGATAATCAAGGTAATTGTGGTGTTAATTAAGTAGTGTCAGATGAGTAGAATATAGCTGGAAAGTGCAATTGTAAATATGAAACATCTTGAATGAATTGAATCAAGCAATCATTTTTGCGATTCGACATACAGAATTACTAAAAGTGACAAGTGTCAAAAAGAATGTCAGAATTATTTTTATTATTAAATCTTAATACAAAGTGATTTCGAAAGTCTTTGGAGCAAAATTTCACAATCAGTGAGATCATCGTCAAGGTGAACGAACAAGAAAAGTGTGCTCCAGTACCTTACAAATGAATGATTAGTAAGATAAAAAGGAGTGAGGGAAAAGAGAAAGAAATCAAGAAGTCCCGTAAAGTTTCCTGGACGCGCGCGAGTAAGTAAATGCAATGGAGGACTACAAGTTTCTCTTCAAGGTTGTACTTGTTGGTAATGCTGGAGTTGGGAAAACATGTCTTGTACGTCGGTTTACTCAGGTATATTATTAGTTATATTGCAATATTTTTAAATACTTGTTAAAAACCTAACGTGATCCCTTGAATTTCTTTTGCTCAGGGATTATTTCCACCTGGTCAAGGAGCAACAATAGGGGTGGACTTTATGATCAAAACAGTCGAAGTTGAAAATGAGAAAGTTAAAGTTAGTAATTGAAATCTGGGCGAAATTATTGTACGCCTTCTATTGCATAAATGCCCAGTTAAATTTGTAGTTTTGTACTGTTATAGCTTCAAATATGGGATACTGCAGGTCAAGAAAGATTCAGGTCTATCACACAGAGTTACTATCGGTCTGCCCATGCTCTTATATTAGTTTATGATATTTCCTGTCAGCCTACATTCGATTGCCTACCTGATTGGTTACGGGAAATTGAGGAATATGCTAGCAATAAAGTTTTAAGGATACTTGTCGGTTAGTGGGTTAATGTCATGACTTATTTTACTCAAACCTAAAAATTATATTTCTGTCTCATCCGTGATTTATTGAATTTGCATTGTGAAAATTACAGGTAATAAAATTGACCGGGAAGATCGGGAAATACCCACTCATGTAGGAGAAGATTTTGCCCAAAGACATGGAATGTATTTTTTGGAGACGTCTGCAAAAGAGGCAGAAAATGTTGAAAGACTGTTCATGGAAATTGCTGCTGAATTAATGGAGGTATAAAATTTGTAATGGTAAGAGTGCATTATTCACAAAACTAAATAATTTACCGCTTCAATGAATTTATAGCAAGCCAGAAGTAAAGAATTGCCTCGATACGAAACAAATGCAACGTCAATCAACGGAAAAACAACGTCAATTGGAGATAGTGGTAACTGCACGTGTAGTCGATTTTCTTAAAAAATTCATGAATGCTGGTGAGAATGATCAGTAAAAGTAAGATATTTTTTTTCATTCCATCAATATGGGGATAAATCTTTGAGCGATCAAAAAAAATTTCTGACATTCATCAAATTTCGATCTAAGTAATTAGTATAATAATTCACAAGCTCAACAGGAAACTCTAAATTCCGAATTATATTCTCTAAATAATGAAATCATAGATGCAGAATAGTTTTGTGTACAAAAGAAAATAATCATCTCATTAAATGTTTCTTTACTCACAGCATTTTACATCACACATTACCTCTCTTAACAATCGTCACTCTACTCGTTTGAATGAATTACGGTACTATTTATTTAATTACTTTATAACAACGACTGATCGTCTGACAGATAATGAATACAGTACGTTTTTAATTAACACTAGGTCTTATTTTTCTGTTGATTTTAATCGTTATAATTAAAAGAGGGTGCATCGAATAATGCACTTTGGTTGTTATAAACTTTAAAAAGCATTATTTTAATAAATTAATTAATAATTTAAATTTAAATTTCGTCCATTACTGTACGTACTTTTGTTAAAAAGAAATTTATTAATATAAATAATTTATGCGTTCACACGAAGGAAAATAAAATGATAAATCGTTGCTATAAAAATATACCTTTATAATTGTTTTCCCAGGTGTGAGGCAGTATTTATGTTGAATTGTATAATTGAATATTTCAAGATATTTAACGAATGTATTTATTGCTTTTTTATGATACAACCAGAAGGTTGTTGTAATTAGAAAAGTTGAGTTTATACTATAGTAACTAAAATACTCTAGTCTTTGCAAAATTTTATTTACGATAAATATAAATGATAAATATCACCGAAAATTGCATGTATCACAGCTGATACTGCTCAATTTTAAAAATTTTATTTAATTTAACACATTAACATTCACATGCTTTGCTTTATTTAGGAATAAAAAAATATGCTTTTATATTATAAAATAAATATTTAAATATCAATATGCAATTTATTGAAATTAATATTTATATAAAATCGATTATTAGGCTCAATTATTTTATGTAAATTTTTTTTTCATCAAATATTTACGTAGCGTATTAACTTGGTTTCATTTAATGGAAATTGGTGCTAATATTATGTGCAATATACATAAATATCTATTGTTACTTAAAAATTGATTAATTAAATGAAATTTGTAAGCATCAATATACCATAAATCTAAATAGAAAAGTGTGTCTTAAACATATCACTTCATCGAAATACTCAAAACTGGAGAGTTAAAGTTTACTCATGGGCATAATTATTTTTATGAAACAAACTGGTGAAATTGTTCATAATTATTCTTACCAAACAATACAAATATAGGCATTTCATTATTTAGTTATTATTTATCTATATTTTACATTATCATTATTTTAAATAAAATTCGATTTATAAAAACTGACAAATAATACTATTATAAACATTAAAATCGAATGAATATTAGATTTTAGTGTTTTTCAATAAATACAAACAAAAAAGAATAAATGATTATTATTTCAGATACTTAATTTTTTCCATGATTATTTATTATTCCTCAATAAATAATTTTATTCAATTACTCCTTAAATTTCGAATTTTTTCGTATAATCTATAACAATTTAAACCATTTTTCAATAGAATATCGTGATGAGTTGCTGAATAAGGTCATCTATCAAAATAAACTTACATTGAAGCTGACCTAATACCTGAATTTGTAGTTTTAGGACAATTACTGCAACGACCATTACAACCTTCTTTTCGACCTTCATCATTGCTTCGTATTGAATACGTAGCATTACTCTTTGTTTCTTTGGCAAAAAAATGTTTATATCTTGAACATACTGGACAATCATCAAAGTCATGAAAACGAAGTTGAGAAGAATACATGTTTGATGCTTGACATGGCAGTAAATATGTACATTTTAATTCTTCATGGCCGTTTTGATGATAACATTGATGTGTATGAGCTCGTTGATTAGAAGGACATGAAACTATGACTTCATCTGGAGAAGTATGGATATCATGTCCACAGCCACACCTTCGGATCAATGAGAAGCGAATAAACAAAAATACACTCCTAGGTCTTTATAATTAATCAGAATAATTGAATGAAGGTAAAGAAATTCATAGTAAATATATTAACCGATGAGATGGTATTTTTTTCCCGGTTTGAGAGTGACATACTCTTTTTTGCCTGATAATACCTACTGAAGGACGTTTCCTATGGAGACATGATCTAGCCTACAAGAAGCTAAATGTTTTTATACTACTTATATTAAATTATGTTTATTCATGTTTCAATTACCCTAGAGTTAATTAATTTTGGACTTATGACTTTCATTCCAATCATGTCTACATTACAGAGTTCCACTTCTTCAATAACAGTACGTGTTGAAATTTCAATTTTTGGTGCTAGAATCCCCTACAAAAAAATATAAAGTATTCGATGTAAATCGTAGAAACATCAGGAATTTACCGGAAAGTATTTACTGGGTTCCATCAATAAATCAACATCTATTCCAGACACTAGACCCTTGAAGCATGGAGCAGGATATAAAAGGTCTGCTAGATTGGTTTCAAATGTTGCTAAAATAACTCCTTTATAGTCTTCCGATGGCCGTTGAATTAATTCTGCGTATAAAATTTCATCTTCCAAGCTATATTGCAGTTGTGAGAGCGTTCCTACATCTGTAAATGTTTTTTTAAAGAGAAATTTATCTTCAAATGTTAATGGAAATTGGGGTGGTATTTTTCGCGATTCGATGTGGGCATCTAAACAATTTATTCGCAATGCTACAGTTCCATTTGGACATAACCATACTCCTGGACATGAAACCTATAAGAAGTAGTAATTTATTTTATTTAGGTTTGATTTTCAATTTAAATTAAAAATGGAAAAATATAAAAATACTCACGACATTTAAATCAAAGTAAATTTTGACACAAAACCCTTTACTTGTCATTATGTTTTATGGATAAAAAATATAAATATAAATGTCATTGTTCTCTGATAGAAAGTGGAGTCTTTTCCGAGCTTTCCGGGAAATCAGTTGGTATCATTTTGAATAACAAACTTTTGATTTTAACCTTATTTACATGAACATTAAAATTTGTTTATACTTAATTTATTTCTTGTGATTTTGTTTCAAAAGTTTTTTCTAAAAAATTATGAAGAAACAATCTATCTTCCGTATTGTCTTAAGACATCAAAGAAGTATATTGGTTGCTTAGAAACAAGGTCATAACATGGTAGACTTGTGCGCAAAGAAAGTCTAATATAAAATTGATTAATTTACGCTCAACCATTATGTTCCATTGTGATATAAAAACATACAAAATATGATTTAAAAGTTTCAGACTAAATATTTTAACTTGTCTTAAAAGGAGTACCAGTAAATTTAGGTTTGACTAAATATTTATCAATTTCTCGAATTTTGATTTCACTTTTCACTATATCTGTTTGTTTCAGTGGGAAATTAAGTCTAGGATCAGTTGACAGTGGTATAAATCTTTCAGAAAACCATCCATATCTATAAGCATTAAATAATAAAAGTCAAATATAAATAAGACAATAACTAAAATAAATAACTTACTCCATATTTATAGTTGGAGGTCTGAATGAATAAATTTCTTTCGGAGTTTTCTCTGTACGTTTTTCTATCAATTTCACATATTCAAGAGGAACATTCTCCCCAATTTGCGGTTCATAAATTGAATAAAATTTCCCAGTAATAGGTTTTGTTTTAATAACAGGGGAAAACGTCTCCACAAATGTAATATTCTTGTTTTCTTTTTGATAAATTTCCGTATAAAAACGTAATTTCACTGGATTAGTTACATCCATTAGTAAAAATTAAATAAACAATTTTTTCTCAATAAATAAGTCTTTCTAAACATAACAAATCATAGAAAAAATATATACGCATTTCGATTGTTCTTTTTTCAAGGTTTTTAATTCACAATATTGCTAAATATTGAAATATAAAAAACACACTTTCACATTAAGCTCTTCATTTTATTCAAAATATGTATATGAATAGAAAACACATACATAACATACGATAGATAATTGCTAAATTGTATTTAAGAATTTTAAAACTTTCATGAAGACTTTATTCTCGTTATTATTATTGAAGTTATATTTATAGCTTTAATAATAAGGCAAAGTTTTTGCACCACAGATAACTTAAATTTTTCTGTCATTTGTAGGTTTTATATTCTTCTATAATTTCGTTAACTATTATTTAACTTTGTCAACAGATTGAATAAATTATTTCTCAATGAAAAATCAGTTGTAACAAATATGGATATATTCTCAGAAGCATGAACAGAACATTTAAATATTTTAATTAAAAAGCACCATAGTAGTTTGTTGAATTAATTATACTATGTACTTTTGTTTCAATCATCTATCTTTAAATATAACTGACTTTGTCAACACTAATACACGACATATTTGGCTACCAAATAAAAAATTTGTATTATTACAAATTATTGGAGCCAATACTTAATAAAATTATACTTGCGACTAGCTTTGCATTAAAATGCACAAAACGTGGAGTGTACTTAAGAAAAAAATCATTAAATATATGATTAGAATAACACTTTTCTCTACTGATAAATTAATAATCAATTAATTAATTATGAAAAAAAATTTTATACACAATATAAAAAAAACTTTAAATACTCAAACAAACATTTTACGGAAGTATTTAAATGATAATAAAGTCAACTACACTAATGAATTTATTACCATCTATTATCTCTTCCTATACTTTATTGCCATAGTTAGGCACCACGGCGACAGTCGTTGTAGTTTTGGCTTTGTATATGTATAAAAAAAACTTATATAATTAGTTAAGTATCTCCAACTAGGCCTCTAAGATTTTCAATGCCTATTATCACTTATTGCTTCATTTTAAGTACGTAGAAAAAAATTAGTGTTTGATTTTGCTCATTAGTTTACTCGAATAATAGTGATAAAATAGTTAAACGTCAAATAAAATAATAATAAAACTTTTGGCACATTTTTCCAAAGTCCTTTATAAATATTGATTAGCTTCATTCCACAATAGAAGTTGCCGTATCAGCATCAGGGCATGCTGCTGATAATTCTTTAGATTCGTTTGTTGTTTGACTAGAACTTCTGAAAGGTAAATTTAAAAAAAACTTCAAAAAAAAATTCCAAATGAAAATTCAACATTAATATCTCATATTATCTTATTTTCTTGATTAATAGAAAAAATAGTACCTGTCATCATCATGGCTTTTATCACTTTCTTCTGGAGAATTCAGCCCAATCCTCTTTTCTGAAAGTCCTCGCCACTTATCTGCTCCACTCTGCAATAATTCTAAGTGACCATTATAATGACCATTCTCATGTTTTCCAGTATATTCAACGATATCAGGAGTTTTTCTTGCTGGAGTTAAATAATCAATTCGACTTGGTGTAAGGAGTTCTTCATAATATTCAGCAGTTTTTGGTTCCAAGTCCGACACTGTTGAACCAAATCTCCTTGGTAAATTGCTTCGATACTCAGAAATACTATCGGTTAATGCTGATGATGATGATAGTGATGGTCTTTTATATAAATCTAAATCACTATCTAAATTTAAATCAGTACTTTGGTACTTTCTATAAGTGTGATCTGGAGTTGATGTTCTATACTTTCTTAAAGAATCATAATAAGATGAAGTGCTTCCATAATGTTCTCCAGGTGATTTTAAGTCATTGAAAAAGGACCCAAGACTACTTCCAACTTCTGTATACATATCACGATCTACTGGAGATTTTCGAAAACCTGACAGATCATCATTGTATAAACTATGAGTCCTTTCACAATTTCTTCTTATTGGAGATTTGCTGAATCCTATATTTTTTCGATCAATATCTCGAGTTGAATGAAAACTATACTTTCTGGGCAACGTTGAACTTGACATACCAGCACCAGTAGATGGTACAGTCAATGAATTTTTTCGTTTTCGTTCATTGAATCTTGAATAAAAACTCTTCCGTCTAATTCTGTCAATTATTGACTCTGAATGGTCACTGCGGATTGATGGAGAATATGCTGGTGATGTTGGTGAATAGAGATCCATACTACTACGATGGTTTATATCATTAGAACAAATTGACCATGAATCGAAGCTTTCAACATCTTCCATAGGAGAAAGAATATCTTCAGTGTGATCTGGAGTAATTTTTGGTGGTGGAATTGCATTAGAGTTTACTGACAGTAAATCTTGATTAGATTTAGGTTTTTCTTTTATTTTATCATCTGTATCTGGAATATTTTTTTGCATTTCTGTCTGACATTCTTGAAACTTTGGAATATTATCTTGTTTTACGTCATTAATAGAAGCGTCAGCAGACTGTTGTTCTGAAGTAAGGACACTTGTTTGTTTTTTGAGTTCATTAACATACGCTGCAGTGAGAGGCTTATCAATTATTATTTTATTACCAGTTATATTAGCATGATGAGTCATTTTTGAAAGGCTATCAAATGACTTTTTTAATGTTCCAGTATTTTTAAAAGTATGCTGTGGTATTTTAGATAAATCTAATTTCAGATTACTTCTATTATTTCGTAATTTATTGTCTGAATCTGGAACAGGAGATTTTACGCAAGACAAATCATTTTGTTTTGGTCCAGTAACATCCTTATTATCAGTAGAACTTTGATTAATAGAAATACTTTCGGAACCTGATTTGTTCTCAACATCAATAACATTAGAATCTAGCACTGATGCTTGTTTTGACTCTGAACTTTTTTCTAACTTTTTACGAACATTTTCTAGACTGTTCTCTTTTTTTACGCTAGAAGTAATTTTTTTCAACAATGTTTTTGATGATTTTTCTTTTTCTTCAGTGTTACTATCTGGTGAACTTTCTGATTTTTTCACGACCTTTTTTACCACACGAACAATTTTCTTTTTCTTCGTTCCATCGCTTCCTTCTTTTTCTGAAGTTTCCTTTTTAATAATTTTCTTCACTTTTTTATCAGATTCATCAGATTTTTCTAATTTTGACACTGACCCATTTTTTGGCAAAGAATTCAAGCTCTTGACACTTTTTTTTTCCTTCGTCTTCGAAACTTTTTTCTCCTCGGATTCATTGCTTTTAATTTCATTTTTTTTATTATCAAGTACTTTGTCTGGTGAAGCTTTCTTCAATGACATCAAACGTGTAGAATTTTTATTTTCAATTTTCTCTGGAGAACCTGACTTCCGAAGCTCTTTTTCTACAGATTTATCTTTCACACTGGACTTTTCTATTTTTTCTGGCTTACTTTCTGTTGTTTTGTCTGGACTCAATTTCTTGGGTGATTTGCTCGGTTTATCTACCAATACTTTTCTTTCCAAACTAAGTCTTTCTAATGGGCTTTTTTCTTTAGCTTTTTCTTTCGGTGGTGATTTTTTAATTTCAATATTTTTATCTGGTGATTTTTTACTTTCTAAACTTCGTCTACAAGGTTTGAAATCTGATTTTACCTCGTTTCTAAACTTCGTAGGTATTTTACTATTTGATGAAGTCTCTCCAGTAATAACATTAGTATCTGATCTAGATCCTTTGTAAATATTTTTTTTGAATTTACTCAACAGAGTATTTTGTTGCTTTGTGCCATTGACTGCAGATTTAGAATCATTTTTGAAAAGTCCTAAAACACTAGATACTTTAGATTTAGATGTAGCCGTTGAAGCTTCACTCAAAGATAGATCTTCAACACTTGCAGCCTTTGGTAGAACTTGTGCTTCAACTGAATGAGTTTCCGATGGAGTAATACTATTGTCTTTATCAAAAGCTTCATTGTCAATGGTATTTAGATTGTGTATTTTTGGAGATTCATCCCCAGATTGCACCTTCTCAAGTTTTTTCTCTAAAGATTGAAGGAAACTATTAGAATTCGGTTGCTCAGTTTTGACATCACCGTTCGGAATATTTTCTAAATTATTGCTTATTTTATTATCCGTAATAACATCACATTGATCTCTCGTCATTTCATTTACTTCATTTTTTAACTCTTTTTCTGGTTTTTCTTCTTTAGAATTGTCAGTATCTGTATCCTTATTTTGATTCTTCCTTTTCATAAATCTGGATTTTCTCCTTTCATTCTCAGCTGCTTTTTGAGCTTCTTTTTCTTTCACATATTGGCTCTCTTCCCTAGGGGTATCAAAAAAGTCAGGTCGTAAAAATCTTGAAATTCGACGTTTAGCTTTAGGAGATTTTTCTTTACTCTCAATATCTCTACTTATACTACCTGCCCTGAAAAATTTACGGAGAAGCGATCTTTCGGGTGTGATATCACGCAAATCATTAGAATTTTGAGAATAAGCCAAAGATTTTCTTCTGTCAGTATTTAGTACGTCTCTGGTTAATGAAGCAGATCGCAGCCTCAAACCAGGAATACAACTACGACGTTTAGCCAGAGTAGAGCTGGTTAAATCAGTAATTGATCCTTGGAATTCTTTTTCACACTTATCGGTGTCAGTATAGCTAGAATTTAAATTAGGGTCAAATTTATCGATGTTTAAATTTCGTTTTTTTGATTCTTTTATCAGATTCTCAGCGGCGAGAAGTCTATTTTCAAAATCTTTAGCATCAGCTCTAAATGAATTTATCACATCTTGTTTGGTGTTTGAAGTTGATGGAGATTCACTTGTTTTTATCGATGAAGTCGCTCCTAAATCGTTAAGATTTGCTATTGAATTACATTTTGGTTTTTCTGTGCTTAACATTTGATTCTGATTCTGATCATTATCATTATTATTTTCTTGGACTTTCTTTGGCGAATGTAACTCATCAGATGGTTCTTCTTGAATTTTTTCTGTCAGACAAATATCTCTGCGAATTCCTCCATTGGCTAGAGCTTTCAGAGGATCTCTATACTTTCTTCCAAGTGTCATAATTTGTCGTGGCAGAGGAGGTAGTAACTGATCTTCATCATCATCAAAAAGACTAACACTACGTCTTGTCGATCGGTAGTCAGGTCTATCAGTACGATTGTTGTCTAGCAGACTGTTTGTTCTTCTTAAACTCCTGTCGCTTGATTTGCTTCGGTACTCTGACCTTTCCGGTATGATAGACGATGTCAACGACTCTGAAGGCTCCTCTGTTGATGATCTATAGAAACGGTCCCGAGGTATTGATGGTGACCTCGGCAATGACTGTCTGGTCTGTTCTATAAATTGTCTACTCAATCGTCGCGCCAGGCTTGGCGTGAAATTCTCATGTGCGTTACTTGTGTTTGGTCGTACTTGAGTCTCTTGAGTCTCCTTTTTAACTCGTGAATCGGTCTCCGTCTCATCCTGAAGATTTTTATCTGCAAAACAATGCGGGCAAACCAAATTTTGGTGAGCCATCAAGTGCACTTAAAATTGCACTGTTTAAATTATTTTAATTGTTTAAATAAATACAATTTAGTATTTACATATTATTTATTTCTCATGTACAATATTATAATTCACCACATTCTTTATTTTCTACTCTATAATCTTGCTCTAATAATTAAATTATTAGTTTAATCAAATTTTATTGTTGAAAGTAATGTGTGCAACTATTTTTTTTTACAAAAACAATAATACATTTATTGTTATTTGAAATACTAAGTCAAATACACATGCGTGTGTATGTAACTTAGTAGTTAGTGAATGAGTTCCAAAAGATATCCTTATGATTTGTTCTTTATTTATAAACGTTTATAGTTTATATTGTGATTTTATTCTAAAGGGACTAAATAGCGACACTACATCGAAACGAATAACATAAAAGGTACAATGAATATACATGTAAAAGGTACACTCATTTAACATCTTCATTTTCCATTAAGTAATTTTTTTTTTGCACAATTTTGTTTATATTTTATTATAAATCATTTTCACAACATACTGTGATATTCTAGAAAAATTACACTCTGTTTTACCTTAATAATTTATTGGTTGCTTTAAAATGTATTAAATGAGTAAACCTAATGTATAAATGTTTATATAAATTATATAAACGCAATCGACACTGCCCAATATCAAATTGAATAAATAACAGCACAAACAAAGCATTTGATGAGATAAAATAGGGCAAAATCGAGTGAAGAACAAAAATCAGTATTTTGATGTTTAAAATTTGTTACTTAAATTCTTAAAAAAAAAAACACAACCATTTTAGTCATTTCGGGCATAGGGTTAGTTTAAGATGGTTTTTTATTTTTTTACAAACACATTGTATTATATATTATACAAAACTATTATTTTTTCATTCTCACTAACGTCATCATATACAAAAATTTTCACATAACAAAGTTACTCATATCATGAGACATCGCAACGATTAGCTGATATACAAGGAAAAAAACGACTTTTCATGTTTGAGCAGGCACCGTATGATTTATTCAATTACATTTTTTGGTTCATTTGTTCTTTATATTATATTTTTAACAAAAAAAAAAATGTTCTAAATAACATATTTACTAAACTTAAACTATTAATAATAATATCAGAAAATGATGATGATGATGATGACAATAACAAAGAAAGTAATGATAATAATTGTAATGAAAATATTACTAAATAAATTTTTAGTAGAATAAATCATACATCTTGCTATCTAACAGTAAAAAATTTATCATCGCGATATCTTTTCAAGTCTTCAATCGTCACATTTAGCTCATTGTTAATTTATTACAATTTTTTAATTGATATATCGCCCGTTAAATTTGTGGTAAGTAATGATTATTCACTGCACGTGAAAAAATTATTTTAAAAAATGTATTAACAAAAAATTCAATATTTGGCGTTCATCTGAACAAAATTTTTACAATTGTTCATTAATAATGAAATAATTGAGTTAAATGATTAAAAAAAAATACGATTAATATGCAATAATGATTTGTTGAATATTTTAGAATGAAATTATAATGAGATGATTGCAAATGTAAATGTTTGTATGTAATTACACTAAATTTACTTTTCATTAGCCAAAGTAGTACCTAACTTGGTTTTTATTTTATTGGGGATTACCGTCGGCCCGCCTACGTAGAGTCACTCGTACGGTCGCTGCAACAACCGTCAATAAAAGACCGTCAATCAATCGTCAATCAAAGCTTGCTACTGATGACAATTATTGGAGCATATTTTCGGTAATAATTTCAGCTTTTGTTGCTTTCATTGTCGTTAGTTTATTGCAACTACATTCTATCTGGAATATCGGGTCTCCTTTTCAACAATTTTTTCATTAAAGAACAATTTATAAAATTAATTATCAATTTTTAATTATCATACATTAGTAGACAACTAAAAATATCATGTTTATAATTATTCTAGAAGACCTTGTTACTTGAAATAAATTGTTTAGTGATAACTATATCAGAGATTAGACTTGTAAGATTGTCAATGTGTTTAATAGCCAAGCAATTTATGTATGTATCAACTAAAAAGCAAATTGTTTTAATTACCGAAAATATAATCCTTCAATTATCAATCAGCAATCAACAGTTTATCATTTTTTATCTCAACTGATTGAGGAGTCGACGATAGACTTAAAATAATTATTATTTAACAGGTTGTTTTCCATTTACTTTTTTCCCTGTCATTCATTTTTTGAAATGAATTTTTGTATATGGACGTGTTTTAATTTCATGCTCTTTTAATATTCGATGCTAGGTATCCAGTACATTGGGATATGCTATTGTTCTGTTATAGGAAAGAATATAAAATAATTATTAATAAAAAATGAAAGTAAATATATTGATGTTGTTGATATCATTAAATGCTAGGTATTTAGTTGAACTCTTACACCATTTATTGATTTTATATTTAAAGGACTTGCTTTCTATTCTAATTATTATATTACTTAATATGACGTTAAATTATGTCAATTTTATCTACAACTCTTATGAGATAATAATAAAAAATAAGTTGAGCATTCTTTACATCTATTTTTATAAAAAATACGCGTCGTGCAATCATGCTAAAGAGATGACTAGAAATGCTCCTTCAAAACACTGCATAACTTGTAGAAAAAAAAATATTTTACAATTGATTACACAAATGGGATAATGAAGGGGAAAAAGGATTAATGCTATTGATTAAGTAGTCAATTTAATAAATCTACGTAGGGATAGTGAATGAATATTAATTCGTTTAATATTCTGGATAGGATCTAATAAAGACTGTTAGTACAAAACAAATTGCAAAACACCGTCAGGCAAGAAAATATTTATGTAATAATAAGTGTGTAGAAAAAAAAATTTTATGCTAAAAAAAAAATAATAAACATAAAAAAGTTGATAACAGAGGTAATAAACCACTAAAAGTAACGGAAGAATTGTGCTTTGTCTATCAACGACTCGACAACAGCTATAGGTACACTAGGAGATGCATCTTAAACTTGAAACGTTGTATCAATGTACAATTTAAGTAGTTAAATAAATTGACTCAATGATAAAACGTCAAGTAAGATAGATAGAAATAGAAAAGAAAGAAAAAGAGATCATTCACGTCTTAGCAGAAGCTTGTTTTTGATTCTCATTTCTTTCATCATAATTTTTTCATTCATTAATATTATTGTAATTACTATTGTTGTGTAATTAAAGTTTATTATTTTTAGTTTATTTCTTTGACATATGCCAAGCATAACTATTGCCTACAAACAACATTTGTAAGCTTCTGCGAATGCGTGTTGAAACACAGTACAACATCAAGTGTGTGTATTGGTTTTCTGTTTCTTTTTTGTCTGGTAAATTTAATTCATTCAATTCCATTTAATTTTTTTATAATTCTATTTTCAATCAGTTTTATGATAACCAGTTTTATATCGATAAGTTTGACTCTTACCTCGTGGTAAAGTATTACTGCTGCCTACTTCAAAAATACTCTCACGTGAAGGTGTTGTTCGAGCACCTAAACTGGTTGGAGTTCCTGGATTTGTTGACATTGCTGAGTCTTTACGACCGAATCGGTCTGTATCACGACTGAGTGATCTTCTAAATGGTGATTCCGATAGTCGCCTTTGAAGTAAAGAATAAATTAATATAATAATCAACAAAAAATGATCGTTACTATTGAAATTATTATAAATAAAAATGCTAAACTTTTAAAATGTGCAACGCTATGTATCTCTGCAGTACAATAAATATTTAAATATTCTGTGTCAATGATTTTATAACGTGTTGGAAGGTAAGTGTTTATAGTACAAGGTTGAATAACTCAAGAATAATAAAGTAGAAGTGATATAAAATACCTAATGTTATTTCTATTATTGTGCAAAGATAGTGAGATGTTTTTTATTTAAACCAATAAAAGATTTTCTCCAAAAAAATTCCAATTCAATTTATTTTTGATAGCTTGAATTGAAATTCAAATGAGTAATCGTCTTTCATTTTCTGTTCGATAGATTAAATACTATTTTGCAAAAATTAAATAAAAAACTTATTTGTTTCTTACGACTGGACTCACGTTGTGATCGTCTGTATTTCAACGTAGCTCTCGTAGCTTGCACAAAGAGGCAAACATTAAAATATTATATTGACAAAAAAAATCCGAACTAATTTATTAAATATAATGCAATGATTATTTATTGAAAATATTCTTAATAAAAAACTCTTAATGGTAAAATACCTTGATAAGGGTTCATGTAATCCCCAGAAACCTTGAGAAGAATTAGTCCCTAATCTATCAAGAAGTCGACTACGTGGAAATCCAGTTCCTCGGTTGTCATCAACGTTAAGTCGTTGGGTTAAGCTTCTGACTCTCGATAAAAGTGTTGAGAATAAATTTTCTGCCGTTAAAAGTTCAAAGCCATCGTCATCATCATCTTCACCAGATGAAAGACTGTCGGCGTGTTCTGATGTTTGTCTGGTTGGCCTTGAACTTCTTAATCTGTGCATATGTCTTTGGAGTAGATCATCATTGTCTCTGAAAATGATAATAAAAAAATTAATATGAAAGATTAGAAATTGATGACAAAAATATATCTTAATTATTAACAAACCTATGAAGAGTGGAGAAAGGTGATTCATCTTCACTGGCATCAGAAAGTAAAGATCCTATCCTCCTTCCTCTTCCAAATCTTGCTCTTGCTGGATTATTGCTTGTAGGAGTGCTTGTTTTGCTTTCAGGTTCGACACTTCCAGATCTAGGAGTAACATATCCTCCTCCTTCAACTGCAATTGGAATAATATATTCTCTAGGACTTTTCCTAATAGGTTCTGGACCAACAGTGGAACCAAGTGCACTATCAGTATCAGAATCAGCTGTAGATTGTCGTGATAATGAGCTGGAACGTTGGGACATAGATCTTTGTGGCATAGGGGGTTTGGAGGGTGGTGGTGTGGAAGACTGCTGAGATTGATGTCCTGGTTCTACATGAATTGGAATAATTCTTTCTTTTCCTACTGTTTTTAATAAACTTTCGGGTTCTAAACTCGAACTTCTAGGCTCTTGAGTAATCACAGCTGCTACAGGGAATGCTACCTCAGATTTTTGAGTTTTTAATTTTTGTGGATGGAACGCATCAATTTTAGCCTCGACTTCTGATTTATATGCTGGTTCTGGATTCTTTATACCAGCGAGAGTAATTTCAGCTTTACTTGTTTTTCTTGGTCGAGGTAATGTTGCACTTTTCAAAGTAATTTCCATTTTACTGGACATCGTAGGCTCATCTGCAAACGATGTTTCCATACTCTTAGACTCAGGGGATGTAGGAACAGAATTTGCAACAGCAGTTGGTTTTGCCATCGCACCTTCAAAGTTTGGATACTTGGTATTGACTGGTGTTGAAACTGATACTGTCGCATTTCTGACATCATTTGGTCCAATTTGAATTTTTAATCCAAGATTCTTTGAATCTGGACTCTGAGGTGTCACCGGAGGAGATCCATTAAGTTTTTTTTGCATCGGAGGCTTACCTAAAGCACCAGTAATAATATCCACTGCTCGCTTTTTCTCTTTTTCTCGCCTACGTTCCTCTTCACTTTTTATAGATTCTTCTTTAGCTACGACTGGTTTGTCCTCTATTTTCTCAACTTTTTTATCATTTGCTACATCAATAATGACTTTAGATGCAGGAGACTTTGTAGGTTGTGGTGATGTAATTGAAGAGAGGCTTGCTTTACGTTCAAATACCTTTTTAGCACCTCCCACATTAACACCGGGAATAAATATTTTTTTAGGCTTCTCTGGTTCGGTTCCTGACAAAAGTTGATTGAATTTTTCAGCAGTTTCAAAAATTTTTGAGCGTCTTCTTTCTGTGGGTTTCGTTGGAGGTATTGCAGGTACTTCGGAATCTAATGACATTTGTTTCTGACTTAATTTTTTAATATCATTTTTCTTCTCCATAACATTTTCAGTTGGTGGTGATGGTTTATCGTTAACTTTAGATTCCTCATTGATTACTTCATTATTTTTACTCGGCACATCTGTTTTTATAGCATTACCATCCTGCAATGTTTCCTCAACTTTTGATTTTAGAGCTTTATTTTTTATTGGTGTCTTTTCACCGTCATTGACGGATCGCTCATCTACAGAAATATTTTTATCCGACAAATCTTGAAGTTTATTGGCAAGCGGTTTAACTTCATTAACATTTTCATTCACATTTGGTATGGATTCCGAATTGATTCCTTTCGATTCATCGGGTATTGCGGGAGTTCTTTCTTTACTTGGCGATTTAGACTGAGCTTCTTTAATGAGTTCTAGACATGCTGCCGCAGCGGCTGGATCCCGAAGATCAATTTCCATTACTGGATTTACTTCCATAGCTTCTTCAGTGATCGCATTTGCTATTGGTGCTGAATGATGTCGCGATGTAGACCTATAAGCTCTTGGTTCTCTTTCATCACTTCTTTCTTTTCTTCTTGAACGATCTTTTTTTTTAACTCCAGCCTCAGCAGTTTCTTCCATTGACAGAGTCATTTTTAATTTTCTTTTTGTTTCATTACCTCCATTTCTTATTTCTTCATCAGTTATCTCTTTTAATCGTCCGGAATAATTATCAAATTCCATTAAACTACCAACAGACATACATCTGGTCGGCGCACGCGTTTCTTCAGATATATTTCTGACAGCTTCAGATGATTGATCATTCGTGACGACTAATTCTTCAGCACTTGCAGATTGTGGAACGAGTGAAAGAAGTAAATCAAGTCTTACTGGAGTTTGCGCGGCAAGATCTTCTGCAATGTCTAAACAATTTTGTTCGTAACCTTCATTAACCCACCAATGGGAACATATCCTTTCTATGTCTGCTCTTCTTGATGGACATTTAGTTAACATGTCTTTAATAAGTGGTGAAGCAGGTGAAGGTCTTTTGGGTTCAAAATAATCAGAATTAGAAATTTGTTTCGTTAATCTCTTAAAGTTAGAGCCATCAAATGGCATGGCACCATAGACTAGTGTATACAAAAGAACACCCAGACTCCAGCAGTCCACTTCCGGACCGTGATAAGGCGTACCTTTAACTATCTCAGGACTAGCATAAAGTGGACTACCACAAAATGTATTTAAAAATCTATTTTCATCGAAGACATTAGATAAACCGAAATCTGCTATTTTTGCATTACCTAAATGATCCAATAGAATATTTTCCAGTTTAAGATCTCTATGACAAATTTTATGCTTATGACAGTAATATACAGCTATTGAAATTTGTCGAAAAATTCTTCGAGCTTCTTCCTCGGAAAGTACTTTACGTTCACTTAAATAATCATAAAGTTCACCACCTGCTGCATATTCCATCACCAATACCATTTTTTCTCTATTTTCAAACACTTCGTAAATATGAATAATATTTGGATGCTGAACACTAGACATAATTTGAATCTCTCGTCGTATCCTAATGAGATCGGCTTCTGTTTCAATTTTACCTTTTTTGATAGTTTTAATAGCAACCTCTTGTCCAGTCTCTTTGTTAATTCCTAGCTGTACCTTTCCGTATGTACCTTGACCCAATTTCTTAATTATGTCAAACCTACAATTGAAAGTAGATTAAAAGAAAATAGGAGGAAAAAATTGGCATTTATACACATTTTAATGGTTAATTTCAACAAATCACGAATTACGTGCCAACAGGAAGGCGCCAATATAATGATTTTGGCGAAGCAAACAAATCACTTGACCAAATGTCAACGTCAAACTAAATAGGAAGATTTAAAATCCGTAACAAAATAAATTTTCTTACCTCTGTTTCAATTTCCGTTTGTGATTATGAAGCCTCACACCTCCTGTACTTTCCATTCCCCCCATAATATTATGAATGCTTACTTCCCCAACCACCATTGTGACGTCTTTTTCTACAACAATCAAAATAAATTATCAAGTTTTTTCTTCATAATCTAAAAAAACACCACAATTTTACATAAAATTAGTTGATAAAGAACTAATCAACTTTTTATTTTATTTAAATTTTTTAAGCCTAATAGTTGGTCTATTCATTTCAATGTTTTTGTCTAATATTCTTCAAGAACATAATACTGGATAGCAGCACCGATTGTATCAAGCATAGAAGAGAGAATGCCGGCAAGTTTATTTTGGGCTTGAAAACACCAAGTGTCGTTATGTCTCTCAGATTTTCAGTACTGCCTCTATATCTCCCTAGGTTTTTCTCTCACTTATTCTTTGAATTGATAAAATTTCTGAAGACAAATGACGTAAATTATTAATCTGAAATTTATCCCGTCTAAAAATAATCATCCACATCATTTTATTAATGTAATAAATAAAATAAAAGCATATCAAGAATTTCAAGATGAGTAATTTTTATCTATCCACAAATGTAATGTCACTATTCAGCGCATATTTATATAACAGCTCTTATTGAAAAGTTTCTACTGTTGTTCACAAAAGTTGCAGCTCCTTGAAATATATAGTTGATGATAATAATAACGACAATTGTTACGTTCCAACACAAGGCAAATGGCCAACCTTGGATTATATTCTAAGTTAAAAGAGAATTTTACGTTAGCTTTTGGATTAAGTAAACATTTAAAATATTTCATGATTTTCATACTCATACACCTATAGAAGCTAAAAGTGAATTGCTTTGGTCTTGAAAAGAGTGCTATTACCTTTTAAATATTCATTGTAGTAAAGCAAGTGTAGATTGAATATTAAAAGGCATTGACTCTTACATGACTCATATTTAACTGCTGTTGCAAGCCAATCGTTTTCTTTTATTATGAACTGGCTTTCGCTTCATTCAACCCTTTTTCTTGGGTAAGAATAACATAAAGATGTATTTTTCTATCTTTCTCCAGCTTTCTTTCTCTTTCTTTCCTTCGACGTCCTCTGATTCTCTTGAAGAGCACGTGTTATCCAAAGTGCAACGGCATTAATAGCGACGCCAAGTTATCTCAGTGAACGCGATACAGTCAATCCTCCCACAAATCCAGGCCATCAACAATTATTTATGAAAACTTTTAATCATCATATACTGCTCAATAAACCTCAATCATTCTTATCATCACCTTTATATTAAAAAATGTATCTCAAAATAGTCAATAAATAATGACAGCTGATAAAGAATAATCGAAGATCCTTCCATTAAATTATTTTTAATTCTGGATTCTAAAAATATCATTCCATTCTTTCGTTTCCTCATATCTTTGAAGTAAGAAATATAATAAGGAAGATTTAATGAGTCTAGTCAAAATTATAGAATTGTGGTCAATCGTTTCCTAGCGACGATCGTCACGACTGGGTAGACACACGTGCGTTATTCATTATAAGAACCGCCATTCGTCTCGTATAACGTTCTCGATACTTGATAGGAGCGTTCGGTATTTTTAGCAATGTTAGACCAACCGCGTGTGCATTAAACCAGGCCTGACATCCTAATGACTTCTTATTTCATTTGCTTTTGCGTTATGTCCATGTAGAGTTGGACTATTTAAATCATCATAAGTTCTAAGTATCATAGTCATGCTTATCATCACCAACAGCTTTTTATTGAAATGATTAATTTAAGCGAGTTCTTAAGTCATCGACAAACCTGGAAATCTAATTCTCAGGACCGATGCTTTTTTGCTTGTCACTCAATCTCCGCTCTACTTATGTTGTTTAGACGTTGTTGTTGAATTCCCAGTAGAAGACTGATTAAAGTTTCCTCGTAGTATATGAATTATTTCATATGAATTTCAACGTTTGGTCATGCCGTAGAAATATTTTGGCACATGATGGAAATATAAAACACTTTTCATGCATGACGAAATAATGCTAAGTCAGTCTTCCTATGACGTCATTTATTTAAACGTCATAACTAACGATGAGGTGTGCTGGTAGTGATTCACGTGTTATTATTGCCGTGAAATTAAGTTGGAGAATTGAATTAAACTGTACACTTTTTAGTGTACTTAGCGGTATTCCGTCCATGGTTGATGCGATCTCAATTTAGTATGTAGGCGTTAAGAAGCCACACGATTGTCATGACTGCTAAGAGGCGTAGCTGCTGGTGGAGACATTTGGTAGTCAATCGTCACGCTTGATTTTCATGGTTGATCGACCTAGAAACTCATGACATTCAGTAGTTCAGTTAGTGAATAGATTTCTAAAAATTCTTAGCTTCTGGTTTAGGATATATTAAAACTTTTATTCTGATGGAGGAAAAAATTAAGCTGTCAATTAGCTTAACAAGAAAACGAAGAGTTCGAGGCTGTACTTGGTACATAAGACGACTCAGATCGGTATGTAGGTTCTTGAGGATAAAAATAGCATTCTGATATTTAGTTTGAGCATTTGCCGGTGGCAATCTCTCACAGAGATAAATAAAATTGTATAATTTTCGGTAAGAATTTAATTAATGAATCAAACTGAAGAAAAAGATGAATGAAAAAGAAGAACAAGTGGTATATTGTTCATGAAGAGTAATAAACTTGGTACCATTATTGAGCAATAATAACCACCCACGAATTTTGCAAATTGCCGAATTATCTTCGGGAAAATTCGGACAACTCGAAGGAATGATGATGATCGCTAAAGCCTTGGACTTTCGAAACATTGAATGAATATTGGAAGTGTTGACTAAAAATAGTTAAATTTACATGCTTACCGTGAACTCTGGAGATAAATTATTTAGCTATTTGTCTAGCTAACTCCTCTGTCTCTCCTTTAAACTCTACGTGGGTATCAAGTTTTTGAAACCCACAGAAAGAATTTATTTGTTTTAATAAAATCACTATTACATTAAGATTATCGTTCGTTTTCACTAATCCCGGCATTGAGTGTCTGATATCCGGGCTTTCAGTAAATTTATTATTTTTTTCACACATTTACACCTCATTTTATTCGACGTTTAACAAAGAGTGATATACAACACAACTTGATCTTCGGCACCATCTTTATTTACTAATTTTGGATCGTAGACTGAAGAGGACTACTTACACATACTAAAGTTTAGATATCTATACGTGTATAGATACATATATATGTACACACAATTTTGCTCATATGATAACTATCTATTTTGTAAACACCTTTATCAATAGTTGAATAAAAGTGCGGTAAATTTAAATATTATTATTGGATATTTTTATTTTAATAAATTTTGATAATTTAGATAAATAAATGAATCAAATTTAATGTAATTATTTATTCTATTAATAATAGTTTAAGTAACAATTTTTTATACAACAGTAAAACGCAATAGATGTTGTACCATTGTTGTAAATAATTTATTTTACATAAAAGATTCAGACATAAAAAAGGCGTAATTCTTGCAGTACAATAATAAATTAAAGTATGAAATGTAAATAATGACTATTTACAAGTATGTAAATGTTAAAAAAATTATAACAGAGGCATAGGATTTATTATTTTCGATTATTCATAAGCGCATAATCAAAAACGATTACTTAATTCTTAAAAATTTGAAGACGTTTGTTATTAACGTCAGCCATTCTCATCTAATATCTGTACATACTTAATACCTACATAACACCTCATCACAATAAATATGAATATTTTTTATTTTCAAGTTTAAAAAAATTTTTTTATAAATTTTTTTTTCTTTAGCAAATAAGCAGCAAACATAATCAGATCACTGAATTGCTCAATGCATATTAATAATTTTCATATATTTAATCGGGGAGCGCCGAAATATTTATACTTACAGCTCTACGTATGATTTTGACAATTCATGTTTAAATATCCAGAGCTCGTGCCTCCATCAATGATCGTTTTAACAACGAACAAAATAGATATTATAAAAGAAAAAACATATATTTCAAATCTTCAACAGAAAATTTCATAATACATTATAATATCAAAGTAAGGACTCTACAAAATAATAAAAAATTATAATAAAAAAATTATTCTTCATGATTCTTTCATCATATAACAAGTCTCATATAATTATTTATATATAATTATATATTTATTATTGAATACGTTTACTTCAAGTAAATGATTCTCTTTCATTCACTATTATTACAAATAACAGCTAGCAACGTAATATAACATATCGTAAATAATATTTATAGAGGATAGCACGAGTTTTATGACGAAATATCACAGTACTGATCATGAAGAACCGTAATACAGTATTAAAGCACTCCCCATTCCTTTATCTAAATAACTAATTCATTTTTTTATTATTTCACATCGTCTAATTAACAACAGACCTACACACTACGACCTCAATAATTATTTTTTAAGAAATTTTAATAATTAATAATAATACGTTATCATATACAACGTTTAAAGATGCTGTTAATTGTATATTGACTTTTAAATGTAATTAGTGAATACTGTCTGTATAATTAATCAAAAAAACCACTAACTCTCTTGTGTTGATCGTTCATTTATATGATAAATATTTTGTAATAAATTTTTATCTTTAATCAAATTAACAAAAATTATCATAATTAATTGTATATCGCTTGTAGATACTTTTTTTTACATAAAAAAAGTAAAATCTCATAAATTTCTTATAAAATAAGTCATTAACTTTATAATTACATAAAATTTTAATATTTGCGCTAAAATGCTAAATAATCTCTGGCTAAGTTATCATTTCATTAATTTGCCAGATAATTAAAACTAAAATAAAATATTTACGAGCACGAATAATTAGCGCAGAAATTTTTATACAAATAAGTATAAAGATATTTTATTTTAGCTAAAAACAAACAGCAATGTTTGTGGAGAAAAGTTTATCAATAATTTATAACATAGCTGTAAGTCAATAGAATGTAAACTATCGTCAGTTAAACAGATAATACGAAATGTGTGTTTATACATTGCACTGTTTATTATAGCTTTGTAGTCTTCTGATAATTATCTATTAATTGATAAATTATTTGTGATTAAACATTTACAACGATGTGTCTTAAAATCTCAGTCTGTCATACTTTGAAACATTGTCACCACAAACCATGCTCAATTATGGTAATTAAATTGAATATTTATAATGTCTTAAGATGAATTGTTCTTATTGAGCAGGTGGCTGTGACTCGCTAGGCATATTAGGATTGGGGTAAGGTGGTAAGAAGGAATAATTTGGATAAGGAGGAGGTGGAGGATGAGGAAAAGGAGCGTAGTAATTAGATGGATGAGTTGACGTTGGTGCATAGCCTCGGTGCATATAAGGGTCTGCTGCTGGAGGAGGACCGTGAAAAGCACTGTACACATGAGCGTAATCTGTGTTGTAAGCTGGTCCACCATATGTAGCATACCCAGGAGCTCCTAAGAATTTCATAGTGTTAATATTCTAAGAACAAAAGTTGAAAGAGCTAATCAAAACTTACCTCCAGGTGGATAAGCTGGTGTTGAATTCGGAGCGGCTGGATAGTGTTGCGAATAAGGATCGTATGGCGCTGGTGGGTAAGTTCCACTAAAACGTCCACCAGCTGGATGATTAAATGCTGTAGGGATGTGCGTGTCTGCTCGATTCGGCGTCGTTGTTGGAATCGAAGGTACAGGCACCGATTCTGGATTTTTTATTTCATTAATTTCTAAAGATGTTGACGAAGTATTAATCGAAGCAGGTGTTACAGGAATAGTAGACTGAGAATAAGCTGCAGATGTTACAGGCATTGTCGTTCTTTCTTCTAGAGATTTCTCAATTTCTGGTTGAGATTTTGTAACTTCTGTAGGTCTTGTGTTTGCAGAATGTGACGGAACATTTGGGAAATAAGATCCATATGGAGCAGATAAATTCCGCGATCGAGGATCTGTGTAGTCGTAATATCTTGGGTACTGAGAATACGGATAAGCTTGAGGAAGTCTGTGAGATTCTTCGGCTGATATTTCTTGTGTATCTGGAGCATCTTCAGGAATTAAATTTGGTCCAATTGATGAAGAATTATTAGAGTCTGGTATTCCTTTTGGTACGTCTGGTGGCCTTTCGATGTAAGATTGAGCTGGTAGTAATGATCGAGATTGACAATTTTCTTGAGGCATTTGTTGTTGTTGTTGTTGTTGTTGTTGTTGTTGTTGTTGTTGTTGTTGCATAATTTGAGTAGAATGAGAAGGTAGTGGTGGTACTGTTGAATTATCTTCTACTGTTATCTCTTCATTTGAATTATTTTGACTTGGATTTTGACCAATGTGTCTTGAGTATTGATTTCCATAGTTAGTTGTTGGTAGTGAATTCTCACATTCTTTCGAGTCGTAAGGAGTCATCATATTTTTGTCATGTTTCGAAATCAGTTCTGGCTCAATTTTTACACGTTGTGATGGTATATTCTGCATGTGTTTTCCGGCGGTAATTGGACTTGTTCCATAATCTTGGGATTTTCTTTCAAAAGATTTTTGTAATCCTGGCTCTGAATCCGAATTAGCTGCTTGGCTTTGGTTTGAGGGACTATAATCAGGATTTGAATTAGCTTCTGCAACTACATCTTCCAATCGTACTTCTTCAACTCGTTGATCAGTACGTGGTTGGCTATCTGATGAATTAGAATTATCTCCTACTAATGAATGATCCACAGAATCATGTTTGTTTTTTGGAACTCGTTGGAGTGAAACTTGTTGAGTTAAGTTGATCTGGTTAGAATTTGCGTTACGTCCAACAGCTCTAGATCTTTTTGGTTGATCTTTTTCAGCATGCTGTCGACCACCCATGCCACTATTTGGTCTAGGTGGTATTCGAGGTGCTGGAGTGGCATTTGTAGTCTTTGGAATAATTGAAATAGCAGAATTATTCCTTAACGGAAATCCAACTTCTGGCTTTGAACTTCTCTGTGCTGCTGAAGTAGCGGCTATAGATAAAAAATATTAATTATAAGAAAAAAATTCAATTGAAAAAAAAAATTTACTATAATAATGTAATAACATCTACCTTTTTTCGGCTCTTCTTCACGTTTTTGTTGATTTATTTTCAATGCAGTTCGTATTGCTATTATTTTTCCGGACTCTAGCTGCATATAAATTCCTTTTGGACTCTTCAACACCATGACCCGTTGGCCAGCCTTCAAAACGATGCTACTCTTATCAGGTGAATTTGTTGGAATGACCACATCAAGAGGTAAAGTCATTTCTTGGGCACTCATTCCTTGTCTTTGCCAAACTTCTGCTGGAATCCATCTACTTCCAACAATTCCTCGACCTCCCAAACCTTCAGCACCTCGTTGTTGCATAGGCCTAACGGAAGCTACAGGTTTTGGAGCTACACTTGTATCGCCTCCACGTATTGCTCGTATTTGTAAACCACCTGCTATAAGATACAAATTTCGTTCTGTTAAGTAATAATAGTTTTCAAATGATAGTGGGTATGAAATTAATAATACTTACCACGAGTAGCTGTGTTTCCGGGTACATAATTATAGCTTGGTTTGGAACAAGTAGCAGCCATTTTCTCTAGTTCATAACCACGCCTTGCAAGACGTTTCTCAGCTTGACTCAATTTTTTATCTTTACGATCTACAAGGAGGCTTTCATGATGGAAAGGTTGCTTAGTTAGAAGTGAAGAATATTTCTCTAGTACATGATGCATTATCTCATCAGAGTAATCATTTTTTGCAGATGAAAAATCTTGTACTTGACTATCCTCTTCCCATTCCCATGATAGTGTTGTAGCTTCTTTCAAGGATAGATGAGCATCTGGATTACATTGATCTACTACTCGGTCTGCCATACCTTGCTTACTAATTTGTCTGTCATAAATTTTTCTTTCTAGACAATTGTCAGTTACTAAACGATATACATAACAAGGTTTTTGTTGACCATATCTGTACACTCGACACACTGCTTGAGTATCATGGCAAGGATTCCATGAAGCATCAAATACAATAGCTCTGTTTGCTCCAACAAGATTAATCCCTAACGAACCAGCTCGTGTTGATACAAGGAACAGATGAATCTTTGGATTCTGATTAAACTCATTAATGAGCTTTTCTCTTTCTAATGCACTTGTGCTTCCATCTAATCGATAGTAATTAACATTTTTAACCCAACCTTCTGTTTGACCATCTGCATATTTTAAATCATTTCTCGCCAAAAAATCTTCAATAAGATTTAAAGTAAATAATGATTGAGAGAATGCCAGCACTCGATCTCCAACGCAGATAGCTTTTTCGAGAATACAAAAAAAAAGTGTCATTTTAGCAGAAGCATCAATTAACCCTGGTACATATCCTTTCATAAGTTCTGTTGCCCAATCATAAGGTATACCCATTTCTTCTTTAACTCCCGCAAATAATTTTGTATCTTTTTCCTCATCTTTGGTTAAAATTTCATCATCAGACTTATCTTCTTTTTCTTTGTCCACCTGTACTGCTTCATCTTTCTCTTTTTCTTCTTCTTTAATTGAATTAGAAGAATTATTACGATTATTATTCCCCATAAATGAAGTCATATTTTGCTTTGATAAATTATTATCACTAGAATTAAAGTTTATAGATGGATTGACATTGTTTTGTGCTAATGGTTGACTCTGTATACCAACACTAGTGCTTGCATCTTTATTCATCTTATCAAAATTACCTTGAACTGCCTGATTCTGATCCATAATTACTGGTTGTGATATATTATTATCTTTATTAGGTATAGGATTCATATTTGTACTATGACCAGAATTATAATCATAAGGATTTTGAACATAATTTTGTTGAGGAAAATAATTGTTGTCATATCGATTAGTATTTGGCTCTCTGAAGTACTGATCATTGCACTGATCTGGTCTAATCGGTTGAGAATAATTTCCTTGCCAAGACGAATAATTATTATCTGGAGCTTTGTATTGATTTTGGGTATTACTTTCAGAATAATTTGATATTCCTGAATTCTGCTGTTGATTTTGATTCATCTGATAATGTCCTGAGAAATTCTGAGATTCATTCTGATTTATTGCAGGCGTCGTTGACGAGGGATAAGCTATTGCTTGATTTTGTGGCATAGAAGTTTGATTTTGAGCTATTGATGGATATCTGAGTGGTTGATTTGGCATTGGAGCAATCGGAGTTTGCTGATTACCAGAATAAATTGTATTCTGATTTGTTGGTGTCGGTGTTTGACATTGTTGAGACATTGGATAACTATTTTGAGAACCTCCAGTTGACGAATGATGGCCTGAAGGGAATCCATGTTTCGAAGGAGTTGTAGTTTGCTCAGCAGCATATTCGTGGGTTTGAGTTTGAGGTACTTGACCTTGAGTTGGAAGTCCAGATTGATAAGAAACTGAAGCCTGTGGTGTTGGATACCGGTTTTGTTGCGCTGCAGAATAACCACGTACTTGACCTTGTGACATCACTGATTGATTTTGTTGATTATTAATGTAACCATGTGACTGATTCTGTATCATTGGACTTGGTGTTGCCTGATTAGGTGGATAGAGTGGTTGATTCTGATTAGACATGTTAGTAGTCAATTGATTTGAAGATTGATTCGTTTGAGAAGTATTTTGGATTGGTACTGGAGGTTGATTTGCTCGACCAGAAGGACCAGTGTACGGATGTACACTATTTGGCATCATTTGATTGGTATTTTGCTGCATTGGAAGAAGCCCTTGATTGTTCATGTAACTACTTGGAGTTGTAGAAGGCTGAAGAGTATTTTGACTCTGTTGGTTTGGTGAATAACCAATTGATTGATTTTGAATAGGTTGATTTTCATTTCTAGGGTAAATTTGCTGCATATTATTACCACCAGTTGTTGGAAGATAATTCTGAGATTGGTTAGATTGACCGTAAGATGAATAATTTGTCATCGACATATTGGTTGATTGATTAGTTATTGGAGTCTCATAATTCGATGGTTGATTGGAATTTTGAGGATATGGCTGATTTACATTTGACTGATAGTTTCTTCCTTGGTCTTGATAACAGTATGATTGCTTTTGAAACATATCATAATTATTGGCGTTGTTTTGGTCAGTATTGAAGTCAGTACTGGATGTATTAGAATATTTCTGTGGCGAATTATTAGTATTTTGGTCATTACTGGAATTAAAAGTTTGTGTTTGGTTCTGCGGATAATTTTGTGTCGGATTATAATTGACATTATTCTGTTGGAATGGTGGAAAAGGAGAGTCTTGATTAGCAAATCTCTGTTGATTTTGATTGTTATTATAATAACCATTGTATTCACCAGTAGATTGATCGTTGCGATAGTAATTATTTTGATCATTCGGACGATAATTTTGGTAATCTTGAGAAAATGAAGTTTGTTGACCTGAATTATTGAAATTAGAATTTGACATTTGTTGAGTAAAGTTGGTAAAATTTTCTTTAGGTTCTTGCTTAGTAATTGGAGTATTTTCTGAGGGGGTAGATTCATTATTGGTAGATGAAGATGATGAGTTTGGTGGAACACTAGCAGCTGGTTTATTCTTGATAGTTACATTCACCTTCTTACCCTTCTTCGATTCTCCTTTAGGTTGTCGTGCTTTAGATCTTTTGCCTCCAGGTGTTGCTTTCTCTGCGATTGTTTCTTCTAAATCTAAATCATCTTCTTCATTGGCTTGACGTTTTCGTAAGAAATGAAATAAAATGTCAGGATGATTCCATATCTTACAACAAACTGCAAATGCTTTCAATGGATTGGGAACAGCACGTGTTTTTACCACTTGATTCATGAAAGTATCGTATAATTTACGTTGATGAGGAGTCATACGAACAAGTAGAATATATTCTTCTTTTCTAGGAAGTGATACTTGTAGAACTGAATGTGATCTACGTTGAACAAATCCTTCTAAGAGAGCATGTAAAACATGAGCGCGGTATCTCATAAGTCTAATATCTTGTGGTGTTGAATCAATACACTGACCATTTTGAATTGGTCTTTCAAACATGTTACAAAATTCACTTTTAGTACCTAAATAATTAGGCCTCACAAAATCTACCATGCACCAATATTCTAATAAATTATTCTGTAATGGATAGCCAGTAAGAACGATTCTTCTTTTGGTTCTCATTTGTTTCAAAGCCAAACTGATACTGGCATGAGAATTTTTTATACGATGTCCTTCATCACAGATTACTAAATCAGGACCAGGGTTTACGAGTGCTCCATGCATCTCATCCAATAAACCTTTATTTTTATCTTCTTCTTCAACATCAACATCCTTAAATGGCTGTCCACGTTTTCGTTTTGCTTTGTTGGGTTTCTTTAAGGATAATTGTCTATACAATTCATATCCAATCAATAAAACCCCACCAACTTTTTGCCATTCGTGAATAACTTTTGCTCGAGCAGCCATTGTTTTATGTGAATCATTAAGAATATGTAATCGAAAATGTCGTGGGCGTAGATCCATTCCTACAGGGCTATCAACACTATGAGGTGTTGGTATTTTAGGAATTTTTTTCTCTTCACTGGATTCTTCTTTACTCGTAACATTCTCCTCTTTAATCATTGGCTCTTTTGGCTCTTCTTTTATGCGCATAGGTTCATTTTCAATTTCCTGCTTTACTTGAACAACTGACGGATTATTTCCATACGATTGACTGCCTGGTGGATTTTGATAACCTGGATAACTTGGTATTTGAGTCTGATTGTTCATCATAGGATACATCGATGCATTTTGGTTATCTATCCCTCGATATAACTGACCTGATGTTTTATTCATATCTTGACATTCTATTTCACTTTTCAAAGGCTTATAATCTTCAATATGGCCCATTTCTTGATGATACATGGAATTATGAGATATATTACCGTAATTTGGATGTAAAGGTACATTGTGATTAACATTAGTTTTATTTATTGTGTTATCTTGGTAATAATTGGACAGAGAATTATGATTTTCATATGACTGGTTACTGAAAGAATTGGTAGACATCATATTTGAAATTTGTGACGCATTATCTTGCATAGGACGATGAGCTGATTCTCTACTTATGGGTCTAGAAGACATGCCTGAAGATACATCAGTCAAATTAGAATTTTCTTCTTTAATCTCATGTTTAACATCAGCACACGATTCAGACTTAGAATTATTCAATACTGTCTCAAGTTTTACAGCATTTGGGTCTTCATACGGCAACCACATGTTAAATTCAGCTAGCCAATTTTGAAGTGTATTTATTGGCATAATACATAGTACAGTTTTGGCAGATGTACAACGAAAAAAAATATCGCAGAAACTTGCCACTTGAAGTGTTTTTCCAAGACCCATACTATGAGCAAGGATGCAACCAAATCCAGCACTATTTTTGTATCGTTCAATACTTTCAATAATATTATCAAAAAGAAATCTAATTCCACCAATTTGATGTGGTTTAATAACACGAGCTACTTGTGGTGCTAAATATACATCTGGTTCTGTATCTGGATGACCAACATTAACTAATACTCGACCATGCTCATCAGGAACATTATAACGATCATTAGTATGCATTCCTGAATTAGAGGGATCATCATCATTATCAGTTTCCTCACCACCACTCGGATCACTTAAAACTATGCAATCATCATCTGAACTTTCGCTTGAGCTAGAAATTGTTACTACATCTTTACCTTTAGGTGGTCTTGGCTGTTTAGGAGTACTTGGTGGTTTACGTATTGTATGCATTGGCTTTTCATAAACAATATCATCTACTTCAGCTTCTGATACTTCAGAATCAGAAAAATATTCAGATCTATCGCAGGGTTCTTTTTTAGGGACCACTGGCGAAATACTTACAGAAGGTGTCATCATACGAATTCTTTGTTGTAATACATTATGCCCTGGTGTTGAACGATGTGGAACTCGTGATATTGATGTTTGTGAACCTGGATAATTGCCTCTGCCTTTTTGCCATCGCGTACTCTCTACGGGTCGTCTTGGAGCTGGACCAAATGGAGTTCCTGAAGGTGTTTGAGGTGTTCCCGAACCGGAATTAACTTTCAGCAGAACTGTACTCGGCAACTTAACCTGTGGTGATGAAGAAGATGGAGATGATTGAGAAATGGAAGTACTAATATCATTTTGTTTTCCTTGAAGGAGACTTATCACACGTGTTTGATTTTTATTTTGACGATTGAACGCTATTTGACGTTGTACCTCACGAATTATTTTTTGTTGCTCCTGAACTCGACGTAGTCGCTCCATTTCCTGACGTTGTGCTGCTAATGTTGCCTCGTCTAGCTGCGTTTCATCCATTACCTCTCTGATGTTTCGCCTCATATTGGCCAATTTTTTTTCGGTTTTCAACTCACATTCTGAATCATCCGGGCTATCATCTTTTTTTTGTTTCTTTTTAGCAGGATCAGATTCATCAGAATCTGTCCTCCTTTTACTGCCGTCTTCTTCTTCATCTCCAGACTGAGTTTCTGACTTGTCGTTGTCTATACTTTCACCGTCGTCTTCTTTCAATGGCTTACCAAGTAAATCTGCTTCTGATACTTCTTGACCTTCAATTGGAGCACCTAAAAATAAAAAAATTGATTAACAATGTTTCTTTAAAATATTATTATTATTAATATTATCATTGAAATTAATTTATTAAATAGCATTAAATATGGACCTTCTAATGGAAGAGTATCTAATATATTGACAGCCTCTACATCATCATCTGGACAAGATGATTCTGAATGTTGTCGTTCAGAATCCATTCTGACTCCAATTTCAGTATCAATTGTTTCGTCTAAGTCCATATCATCTCCTGAACCTTCGGAGTGAATTTCTTCAATATCTTCAGCTGCCATCATTTCCATTTTTCTTTCATGCTCTCCATCACTGGTTTCACCACCAGTTTCTTCAGAATCTCTGTCATTTACTGATTGGATAGTTGAACTATTATCACTACCTTTCATTGGAGCGCTATTACGACCATCTCCTGGGTCTCCAGGCCTTGAATTACCTCTTGGAGTCACACGTTCAATAGTAACATCTCCAATGCGAGTTAAAAAACTATCTAAACTGTTTGACATGTTGTATACTAATCATCCACTTTATTAGTGGAGGATTCTATTACAACATCAAATATTGTACACTATATTTTATTTATTAACGTTTATTTTCAATTGTTCGCATCTTTTCTTGATCACAGTATCACAATTTATACAGTTGCCTGGAAATTAATTTTAAAATTTACATTTTTGTCACATAAAAATTTCAAAATTAATTATTATATTGAACAATACGTGGTGAAATAAATAATAAATGCAAATTTCACAATTAACGTAGTTTAATATATGTACAGTATGTATATTTAATGGTTAGGCTATTAATTATGGTCTTAATACCGTATTTCTTTAATTGTTTACCAATAATAGCCAGTTATTAGTTGATTTAGAGAATATAAACACAATCAATTAAAATTAAATAACAATTTAAAATGTCATATTAATCGACTTTATAGGGCTCAATGTTTATTATTAGGAGTAAATTAAAAACACAGAAATCACCTGATACCGAAAAACTCGTATAGTGACAATTGCATTGAACAATAAAACATGGCAATAAGTTCCTTGGATGCAATTTGACACATTGATTTAATATTAATTGTGATGAAAAAATAATGACACACTACACGGACGCCATAGCGTCGTTGTTCGTTGCGGCAAGTACAAGTTTTCAATGTCTAAATATTACGTTATCCCAGCCGAGTCGGGGTACAATTCACTGTAGCAATTCCATATCACTTTGGAGTACTATTGACTCTATATTATTTACCAACAATCTCGTTTTATTATAACATAGTAAAGATCTGATACAATGATTTTCACAAGTCGGAGTCTTTACTTACCGCGGCATTTTTCTCTATCAACTTTTCCCACCGAATGTACACTGATCACTAACCCCCGCCATTTTGTCTACCACACACAACGCACACTTCCGTCAGCATCTTCTTTGAAAAATAAAAATACGACGTACTCAAAGTTTACTGTTAAATCACTTTATTCGGACTTTAAAATTTTCAGAAAAACAAAAAACCATTACCAGTAATTTTTTTTATATTTAATTTTTTAACATAACTTTCATATAACAATACATTATACAAACTCAAAAAATACCATAATTATATATTTTTAAAAGTATGTAAAGATATGTAATGAAATTTAAAAAATTCATGATATAAACTTTAAACTTACTTAAACAATAATAATAATATTAATGTGAAAAGTAATAACATCATTATATTTAAATAAAAAGTAAATGGAAATTCAATGCAAGATTGATGCTCCAAAATTATAATATAATAAACTATTAAAAATAAAACAATGTAAATAAAATAACACTTTGACCAGAAGATATTTCATGTCTTAGGTTTAGGGCTGATTATCCTTGCAGGATTTAAATCAATATATATATATATATATAAATATATATATAAATTCATATTAATAATCGATTGAATAAGTTTTTGTAGTCCTGACGTAATAAAGCTTTTAAATAATTAATTAGCATTTTCACAGGCGTCAATCCAATCGTTATAAACGTCTAATGGTTCTGACAACATATTTATTCCTGTTTGAAAGTCTTCTAAACAAACTCTACAAGTAATTCTTGCAGTATTTCTCGATTTATCCCTGTCAAGACGAAAACAAACGTAAGTTTATACACAATAACATAGTCAACAACGTAATGTTTACTAATAGAAAATAAGTTAATTACTTACATTTTTACATCACATGATTTTTCGTGGTTGCAAAATGGACAATTAAACTGAGTGTCCAAAGGCTGAATAGTTTTCTTTCGACTTGGTGGTTTTCTTTTACTTTTTCTACGTCCCATTTCTTCTCGAATTAAATCTGAATCTGAATGATAAATAAATGATGTTTATTTATGCACGTCTCGTTCTCGATTCGATATATCGCATGAAAAGAGCGGCGAAAAAGCATTAGAAAATTACTGACACCTCTAAATTTAAATACTTAAATATTTCTAGTGATATAATTTAAAAAAGTTTATGTGCGTATGTCAAATTAATTTTTAAGATAATTTGTAAAAAAGAAACTTTTTACAAATTAAAGTTTTTCGAGGAAAAAATTACTGCAGGGTCCCTAGAATAACGAAATACATGCATGTGTATCGGCTCTTTAGGGGAATAGTATTTTAACGAAGTTTCTAGAGGTGGCACTACTCAAATGTTGAAATTTTTAAAATTATTTACACTATTGTTATTATTAAAAAATATTTTTATTTGAAAAAATGTCCTATTCAACAAATAAAATATTAGCAAATATTTTGGAGTATACATTTATTAGAGTTTGTTGTGATCAGTTAAGTATAGGTCAAAACATTAAGGAAGGTTAGGAAAACTCGACTGTACACTGTTCATTTAATTCTTCTTGCGGATTCTGTAAAGTATTTCTAGAGTTTAGAGTAGTTTATATACGACAGTATTGAAGCATCTACATTGGATAACTGGCGTAGACTTTCAGAAAGACGGGTCTCTTGTGTCGAATAGAAAAATTTCCTCAATTTCAATCTTATAAATCAGTAGTGTTGTTTTTTGCGCTGTTATTAAGTAACTAGTTCAGTGGTAATTTTAGGATTATTTCTTTTTAAATTTTATTGTATAGTGACAGATCATCTTGATGTGAATACAATAAACAGTTTAACTTGATAAACGTACGAAATCATTTTCAAGGTCTTAATAATTCGCGTTATACTACTTTTTTTCTTAAAATAAAATTTATTCATTCATGACTTATTTATTTCGTAATTGGGTCGCATATATATTTAGTTTTTTTTACATTTTTGTGAAATATAAATTTTTTGAATTTTGTTCTTATCACACTGATTACTAAATTATTTAAATATGCCACATATCCTATAAAAATATAGTTTATAACAAATTTAAGTGTTTTGATACAAAAATTTCATAGTTTTTCTGTTGTAACAATCTAAAAATAACTTTTAAGCATTTTAAAATTAATTAAAGTTATTCTATTAATTAAAGCAAAGTAAAGTAAATACCACTGTGCATTATCATTAACTTCAAATGATTGTTTGAAGTATTATAAATGTTTGATAGTCATTAATTTATCTGCATTGTTTTACGGATTATTGTTGATACATATTCCCTCATGAATTTTAATGAGATCAAAAATAAATATTACAGGCAGCTAATACCAATAATTAAATCATCATGTACAAAAATGGACCACCACCTTCTTACGATGAGCCCCCACCATGTGCACCACCCAGCTACTTTCAAAGCGTAGGCGGTGTGCCACCAGCTAGTCCATTTACACCAGCTCCTACATGTGAGCCTGTTAATTTATATAAATAAATTTAATTATTTTATCGATTATTCATTATTTATTTATTTTTTTTATATTAAATTATATACCATCAATTTCTTCAAAATCAACCGTTTCAACTTTCTCCAAGAATTTATGTTTATTTCAGATGCTACAGGACCAACCATTGTCACAACAATTGTGCCATTGGGTCCAGGCCCAACTCACACCATCTGTCCTCATTGTCATGCTGAGATTGAAACGGCTACAAAAACCGAGCCAGGGATGATTGCTTATATTTCCGGAGTTATTATTGCTCTTCTCGGGTAAATAAAAATTTTTTAGATTTATCATAGCCATCTGCTTTTGCTAGTACATAAATTAATTTATTTAAGTATATATTTCTTTTAATAAATTACTAACAGTTTAAATCATAAAAAACTGTTATTTTTTAATTTTATTTTTATTTTTACTGCAGTTGCTTTCTGGGCTGTTGTTTAATTCCATGTTGTATTGATGAATGTATGGATGTTCATCATACTTGTCCTAACTGCAAAGCTTATTTGGGACGTCACGGAAGATAAAATCAGTTCCTAATTACTACAGTCGTTGTAGTAATAATTATGATTGTTGAAAAGATCTTTTCAGGGCTGTTTACTCTGTTATCAATTCATGCACAATACATAGTAAAAACGAACGTGGCAGCTGATATTAATGTTTGATAATCATATCAATAACCATATTACTTTTTAAAATTATTATTAAGCATTTTTAATCAATTTAAAAAAATTCTTGTATGGTTGATTTTCTTATAAAGAAATAATTTATGGAAGATAATTTAGATCTGAATATGTTTAACAAATTTTAAATCTTGACACGATACTTTCACCTTGACTACAGAAATTATTTTTGGAATACATTCCGACGCGAAAATATATGCAATTTTATGAAAAATAATTTTAATAAATTTTATCAAGTCTTAATTGTAATCAGGGAACACAAGTGCTATTTCAGTGCCTTCAAAATATAGTACAATATTAGTTTAAGCTTCAATGTTATTATATAATAATACATCAAAGAATTAATAATAATGAATATATATTAAATATATTTATATTTAATAATTAAGTATCTAATTTCAAAATACTCTATAAAATATGAATATTTTTTCAATTATTGACATTTATTATGCGATATTAACTTTTTAAAATAAATGCCAATCACTCATAAGTTAAATTATGCAATTTTGTGAATTTTTCTAATATTGATTGAATATTTTTGAAATGTAATGAATTCAAAAAATAATTAAATAAAAATATTATTTCATATTCTGATATTAAATCATTTCATTTTATTGAAATTTTTTATACTCATAATTATCATTGCAAAATTAGTTTATTTGTAAATTTACATTCTTTTAATTTATAACTTATTCCAATTAAATAATTATAATCTTAAAAATTAAGTTCGTTATGCATAACAAATATTTTAAAGTGGATAATTGAGGAATTCAGTTTGTCTAGCTAATTCTAATAACATAGGATCATCAAAGAATTTGTTAATAGAAACATCTTCAGACAAACCTTTACGTCGTCTCGTTTTCAACATGAATTCACGAGCTAAATGAGTAGCTGGTTGTGGTTCTAATGGTCTGATTGTGATACTCTTATCTAAGGGATCACCAGGAACAATTTGCCAATGATGAAATACTGATAAGCAAAAGGCTTGACCTTGGGTGTGAGTACGTAAATCAGTCTCAAATCCAAAGCTATCAATTGCTGGAATAAAAGCTTTTATCGTGTACAAAGGACTTCCTGGTACTGGTGCATCCTGAGTTACATGACCACGTCGTTTAGCCAAAACAGTATATACAGCAGAAACACAATCTGCAGGAGCTTGAACCTCCACGAATAAATAGGGTTCCATTAATCTTGGTGTTGCCATAAGGAAGGCAGAATAGGCGACTCTTCTAGCTGTTGGGATAATTTGTCCACCTGTAAATCAAATAATTTATAGAATGATCAACATGGTGATACTGTTATCAACGATGTATCAAGATTTGAACGAATTAACTATACCTCCTCGATGCAAAGGTTCCTGAGCAATAACGGCATCAAGAATTTTAAATTTCACATTTCGAATAGGTTCTTCACAAAGTGGACCTTCTCGTGTCCCCCATTGGAAACCTTGAATTATAGCATCTCTTGCACTACCTAGTAAAGCTTTATCAACTTCAGACGGAAGTGTGTCGTCTACCAAAATATTAGGACCTGTTGCATCTGGACCAAAAGCCCATATGCTACGAGCAGCAAGTAAGTCCCAGTCATATTTTGTTTGAAAAAATTCTCCTAAACGTTTCCTATGAAAAATCATAATAATTAGTTAAAAATATAAATACTTTAATAAATGTAGCAATAATATAGAAAATAATCAACTTACTTGTTCCAAGTTATTTGAACTTTTTCAGCCTCAATATCTTCGGCCAACCCTCTTTCTAATGGTTCAGCTATCATTGTTAATTTATTTTTCTTATTTGGTGTTTCAGCAAAACATTTAAGTGAACTTGTTTCTACAACAGTTTCAGCAAAAGTAACAACTGGATCTGCTACTTTAATGTCAATTTCGGAATACATTTTACGTAGATCATGCATGACACAATCTAGGTATAGTTCTCCAGTACCAAGGACGACATGTTCACCACTTTCTTCAACTCTAGTTCCCAATAATGGATAACTTTTATTAACTTTTCTAAGTCCATCCAGCATTTTAGGTAGTTCTGAAGGGTTCACTGGTTCTACTGCAATTTTAATTACACTTTGGGTGTTAAATTTCAATGGTCGGAAAATATAGGCATCGTCGTTTAAATTTAAATCAGTTATTGTACTCGTTTTGACGATAGGTCTGTCAATGCCTTCAATCAGAACCCAATTTCCAGCTGGAACTCTGTTTAATTCTATAGAATATCGTGCTTCACTTATCCATAGTCTTCCTACAGTTAAAACTCGGGAATCTTCTTCATCAGCCCGGGAATATGATTCGCCCAACACACGTACTTTCTGTCCAGCTTCTATTGTCCCAGACATCACTCTTCCGAGTACAACAAATAATGTGCAATCGTCTGTTGGATACATTTTCGAAGTATGGATCATCAATTTTCCATCAGGATCACAATTGATCATATCTTGAGCTATAGATGAATCTATTGGACCTGTATAAATATGTTGAACCTTTGCCGCAGCGTGGGCTGAAGGACTAGGCACATGTGTTACACACATGTCAACAATGCCAGACAAATCTCCTAAAAATCTAGTACATACCAATCTCAGCAATGGCCTAATGTTCATTTTCATTTCTTCCGAAGTCAATCGAATTCCTAGTTCATCTAAGACATCTGTTAGAGTAGTATCTACATCTCCAACCACTTGTGCAAAAATTTTATACAATGGTTCTAAAATAAATTCAATGAAGCTTCGTTGAGCTGTATTATGTGGTGGCTTTTTAGTGAATTTTCTAGTTTTGGAATTGAAATAGAAATCACCCCAAAGTCTTTTTGCAAACTCGCCAACCATTAATGATGGATGATTCCTAGCATAGAGCATTGCAAATGATTTCAATGTGAAGCAAACATTGTATTCAGAACTAGCAAAACAGACATTGCCTGTGGCTGGTGAAATGAATGTTGGATTATCCGAGTCTGAATATAAAGCTATTAAGCTATTGATTTCTTCGATAATATGACGTAATTTATAATAAGCATCTAACGGTGGAAGTTTCAATTCCAGTACAAGACGATCTATTTTATTGATACAAACAGTTAAAGCCAATTTCTCTTGAATGGCATGTTTTAAAAGTCGTTCAGTGTTGAGCATAACACCCTCTGCTGCGTCAACTACGAGAACTGCACCGTCAGATAAACGTATTGCTGCAGTAGCCTCGTCCGAGAAATTAACATGTCCTGGAGTATCAAAAATATTCATCAAATATGATTTTGATTTGATGTCTTGTAAGAGAAGAGTCACTGGTGATGCTTTTATAGAGACTCCTCTTTGTTGTTCTGTAAAAAGTGTATCTGTGTATCGCAGTGGTTTTTCATCAGTCACACTATGCATATACGGATGGGTCTGCCGAACTAAACAATCTATCAGTGTTGTTTTTCCATGATGTAAATGTCCTAATAGAACGATATTTCTAATGAGATGAGGAGCATCCATCATATCTGCTAAAAATTCAATACTGTAAGTAGTATCAGGCAACTCTTGTTGTTTTATTTGAAATTTCGTTTTCTTTGTTGGAGCTACTAGTGGTTTGTCTAAAGGTTCAGCATCTTCTTCTTGTACGAGTGTTTCAACCTATAAATTTTAAAATACTTTTAGTTGAAAAAGCATAGATAGAGACTATTATGCGTAAATTCAAAATCTTTGATACGTACGTCTGGGCCATAAACCTCTAAAGCACTTGGATAATATCGTTTATCTTCATGCAATGTAACTGCAGTCATGGACTGCTCCATAACAGCCTTTGAATCATCCTTATCTTCATCCATTTCTTCATCAGATCTTTCTTTATCATCGGACTCATTACCTCCATTGATAGAGTCATTATCATCTTCACTTTCAGAAGCCAGGTCGGGTCCAACGTAATTACCAAATTCATCATAAAGATCTACGTCCATGTTAATAATTTTTGTGTTACTCGTTTACAAATTGATCTGTAAAACAAAAACTCTTTAATAATGCACATTAGATTAATAATCAAAATATTAAATCAATAAAAATATTAAATACTCTATAAAAGGTGCGTACGTAATGCGTTTGTAAAATATTTGAGGTTACCTAAAATTATTTCAGCTAAATCACTGTAAGTATTGACAGATTTCACTACTATGAAATGAAATAATATACTATATTAAGATTTATACATTAATAAATTCACAATTAATTACTGAATGAATATAACAAATACATTCAATTCTTTTAAACCGGTTTGTTATTTACAAAATTCATGTGCGATGCAAAAACAAAAGCCGACGCCACGAAACTGTAGCAAATCCAGTCGATAATAAATTTGAGTAATTTCTTCTTTACTGACTACTTATATAGTAGAACTTTGTCTCCAACTTACAGTCGATAAAATTTTAAATTAAACTAAAATATCAATAAATGGTAAAACAGAGATGCGCGTTGTATTGAAACAGTTTTTTGAATGTTTATTTGAATTAAAAATAAAAATATGAATTTAATGAAAATTAAAATAGATGTATACAAGAAACAACCATAAAACGTTATTTTTTATCATTATAATTAGCATGATAAAAGTATTTTTTATTATTATGGTACTAGAAAATTTACTATATTTTGAGATTGATGCGAGAGTTTCAATAGGCTCAATAAATCACGTAAGGATATTAGAAGGCTGGTCTTTATGGGCTTTAAATTAGCTCGTCAAATAATTATTATGAGGCCTATATATGCACGGGTTTAAAGCCGCATAATATATAATATAAGCAGTTAGAAGCCGGTTTTAAGGGGTCGCTTGTTGTGTTAGAAATATAAGGACGAGAGGCGCGAGTCCGACGGAGACTTTATTGCTTTACCAGTTGTGGAAGCTATGTACTTCTCACCATTATAGCACGACTAATTGCCTAAATTAAATTCATGAGAACTGTTGATTTGCTGGCGAGCATCAGACAGACTTTGAATGCATGTTATGACCATTTATAGCATCATAATTATCGCCTTTATTTTTTTATAATCACAAATGGTTTATATCTGAGATCTTGAATAATTTAAGTAAAATAAAAGATTGTGAATTTGGGATTTTATTGCCATGGATAACAACTAAATGCTCACAATTTGTAGCAATTAATGAACTATGAATAAAAATTTGAAAAAATCATGGGGGGACAATAAATGATTTTTTCTTCAAATAAAGTTAATGTTTATTTAAATGATTTTAACAATAAACAATAGAAATAAATAAGATGAAATAAAATTATTTCTGAATGTTCATAGTTATGATATTTTAAAATAAGATATTTCATATCTAGAATAATAATTAAAGATGTTCATTACAATTTAGTTAAAGCAATTTACTAATTTTTTTATTCAATTTTTAAATAAAATGTGTGCATATAAACTAGATAAATATGACACTATGTAATAATAAATATGATAAAAGCAAGGAAATAATGCCATAGTGTCTGGTGGTTGTTTTATAAACCCTTAGTAGGGTATTTTAGCGAAAGTATACCTTTATAAAACGAGATACTAGTCCCACCTCCCCTATTAGTTCTGTCACAACCAACCATATTTAACGCTATTTGCCACATTATTATTACCCGCTACTTCTATAATTTATCGCTAGTATACATATCGCAACCCGTTTTCCTTTTGCGTAAATCTAACGGGTTGCTTGAGAATATATTTATTCACTATTCACCATAAATCATCTGTCCATCGAAAATATGTAATAATGAATTATAATATATTTTCATACATTCACTAATATTCACTCATGATATTGTGTCGTGCAATAACCTTTTCATTTATTAAATAATAATAACTGGACAATGGAATATGTAGTCAACTACTGGTGGATGACTCGTTAATTTTATTATGTTGCAAGAGACATTCAGAGGGTGAGGAATAGACACTAGAAGTGAGAGGGGTGTGGGAGAGGGATGAATTGGTAAAAGTAATAGTCCTATTAAGATTTATATAGTGTCAACTGATGTGGGTTTTAAAGCATAAAAGAGAGAAAGTAATTCAAGAGACAAAAAAAGAGCAAAGCATCGAGAGAATAGAAAAGGAGGTGGAGAATCACATATTGAGGTGGTGAAGATAAAGATGCAAGCAGTTTTGCAGCTGTACATTGATCCATTGTAGAGATCACGTATTAGCTAGTCAAGCTGTAGCTAACTTACACCAACATAAACTTGGCTTTAACCATCACCCCTCTCTGACTGACTGTGCCTTTTGACGTGTAAAGCTCCACCAATGCTGTTTGCTTTTCTATTGACTTGAAACGGAGACGAGCAAATAACGGGTGTATATATTGTGTATCTGTAGGTAATATGGAGCATGTTGAATACATTTCATTCATGTGTCGTGCGAAAAAAAAGAAATATCATAAATGATGCTAAAGTACAGTTCTAGGGTCAACTTGAAAGAATGTCTATGGATGCAGTGAGCTGAGACTAATAGGGAAATTTTGTTGGAATAATTATCGAGGTCGCTTGTTGTTGGATTATTAGTTAACGCAACGGATCAGCTTATTATATATTATATTAGTTTGTACAGCAATAATGAATTGATACGCTATATATGTTTAGCGACATGCAATAACACTGCCACGCGCCAGATGGTTACGCGATAGCCCGGGCTAGAAGCACCGATATTACGACTCAATCACTCCCCATCGATCATGACATATATTACATTATTACTGTATGGTTTCAGTTATTACCTTCTGGTTGTATCTCGGTAGATGCTGCACTAGCTTTTTCATTGATTTACTTATTTTTATACACAAGTATGTTTTAGAGGTTTTTTTTTCTTCGTTGGTAATGTTGAATTGTCTTGGTTATAGTAAAATGCTTTATTGCAGCAAGAAATTTATTGAAGAAAATTGAATGTCATTATTGACATAATAAATCAAATTTATCATTCATTTCACTTCATTGATAACAGAAAAAAGTAATGTTTAATCATTAAAATTAAGATGAAAAAAATTGTAATCAATGAATTGTAAATAATTTAACTTTGATAAAACCGCCTGACAGCTTGATATGTTTTTAGAGCACAATTTTTTCCCTTTAGATTATGTTCTATACCATATTTGAGATTACAGTATTTACTCATTGTAAAAATAACGTCGGATCAATAGTATGATGATAAAAATTAGATAATTAATACACTGAGGATTAGAGTTGACTGCGACAGATGTGAACTCAAGGAGATTTACTGACAGATGAACGCATTTGTAATGAGAGGGGAAACAATTGTGAAATACTGAGAAAAATGTATAGATATTATAATAGATATACCTAATCCAATGATTATTGTAGAGATACTATAAAGCGTTGGCTGTGCTCAGGTGGTGATTTTCACTAACAGCTTCAGTTTTCTTTTAGTAAACACGTCTTTATCCTTCTTTCAAGCCTCGTCTTAGCATCTATAAAACATGATTTCTTGAGAAAATATTCTACTCCATTGACATTTACATATAACATAAGTCTTGAATAAACGACCCTATTATTTTTTCATATTATTAAACGTTGAATTTTTTTTTAAATCTACAGAAAACTCATAAAAATGTCCTTTTAATGAAGCTTTATTTGAAAATATTCATTTTTTATTCTTCATTGTTATTTCATTTTTTTCAATATTTATTTTAAATAAATTTTCTTCACTTAATACACGAATTTTTTATTTACACTTTTCTATTGTTTGTGAATAGAAATACGTAATATAAAGGAAAAAAAATCTTTTGATAATAAAAAATAAAATTCATAAATAAGCAATCGTGACTACCGTTCTCAAAAAATCACATCCGACACAATTTATCTTTCCTGATTTTCATTTCCCATTCACCAAAATATTCCCAAGCTTGAGGAATTTTTATTATCATCTATTTAATCCTCATGAAAATAATCAATGAGTTAATCCATAAATTGACAGGAATATTTTCAAATAAAATTAATTTTTCTTGTTGCTTCTGGTATTCAGATGGTGTGACCTGCTGTTAAAAAAACATATAAAGGTAATTTATTTAAAGAGATGTTTATTTATGACGAATTGACGTGTAAAGGAAATTTTCCACATGGGTTTCAGGTTGTTTGGAATGTCATAAATAATTATTATAATTTATCTCTTTAAAAGGATCTCGTATTATTCACAACATGAAAATTAGAAGCTCATCAATGAAAAGGTGACGAAGTTGACAAAGTGACGTTGCGGTTTGGTGTATCATTTAGATGAAAAATTGTCAATTATACTGAGTTCTTTTTCAGAAGTATAATAATAATTTAACTCCCACGGATATAAGAGTGACCGGACGTGACTTAGTAACTCGGCTTTCATTCACTTTAGTAATATTTTTCAAGAATAGTCTGACAGCGTAGTGAACTGATGCTACTACATAGCAAAGACAGGTGCGCCACCCCCGAAATTGTACTCAGCTATGACTGGTTCCTTTGTCGGTCATCTACCACCTGCAGTTTCATTCATAAATGCTACTACGTATTCATTCATGAATTCTCATTCCACTATAAGTTGTCGTAATTCCATTTGATTGTTCTGCAGTAAAGCTTATAACTTATGTACAACTATTCTCCATGTTATAAAGTCTTCATACACAGTGTGAAGCCTTGTTTAGGCCCATCAACATATATATCAGTGAAGATTGACTATAAATTGTCTATCAGGTAATAACGATAGCGATTGAGATGATGGTTACTGTAGGAAACAGTGCAAGATCGACAAGAGATTTTAGTGTGTGAGTACAACAGGTTCTCTCCAGCTCCATCATGCGCATGGCTTAAATGCATCATTGATACTCTGTACATGTGTAGGTCGATGGATTACATATGTGAAAATGTTATCAGCAGGTGTTGGAAAATTGTCACTGATGTTCAAACTATCATTTTAGATGTTTTTTGTTAAATGATTCTATTTTATTTATTGAAATAAAGGTTTTGAGTCATTCTATATTCAGATAAGTGATGAATAAAATTAGTTCAAAAAGAATGAAGCTTCTTTGATTGAAATACTCTTGATAAAAAAAGATTTCTATTGAAAAAAAAAACAGTACATCATTTGTTAGATGTAAGAATAATAATTGACCATGTAAGTTTTGCAGTGGATAAAATAATAATAATCAAAAATTTTACAAAATCAGATCTTTAATCTGTTGCTACTCCAAATTTGTTTTTTCTAAAAGCAATTTTTAATAATCATCTATGCTTTTTATTGCTAATGAAAATATAATTTCTGACACTTTTGTTATCCATAAAACATCATTAT